AGTCACTGCACTGGATTAAATACTTTCGCCTGAAATGCTCGTACAATATCTCTTTACGAACTGTAGACGGCCCATCCAAAATAATAATCTTTATAATTAATGCTACGACACGTCACTTAATAATGTACTCATAAAATCAATTTCATCTAATCTAAACAAATAGAGAAGCAGAGGAAGAAGAAATATCGCGACCTCTAGATAAGTAGAATATTCGTTATTGCACGAACAATTTTTTTTCATAATTAGGTAGTTTCATTTTTATGAAAATAATTACAATATTATGGAAGTAGGCGACATATATCACTGAGTGTCTTCCAGGTAACTTAGATTATCTGTAGCTGCTTCATCTTTGAACCAGAATTTTTACACATCGTGTCTTTAAATCATGATATCCTGGTACTCGTACCTACAATCTTCTGTTACGAAAGTAAACCTAATATGACGTCAGCGCAGATACAGTCGGGGAATAAATTGAAACATTGATCAATATTCGTGTACATATTTCAATTGTGTTTATGGTCAATTTATTTATTTTCTAATATTTTTACAATAAAAAGATCAGACTTAAAATGGAATATGAACCTTAATCGGGAATATGATCATTTCCGATTATGATTTCAACCACTTACTCTTACTACATGTAAATTGTTTCAAGTAAAATGGATTGCTACCTTAGAGTTAATGATATGCACTACACTTAGGTATCTTAAAAGCGTCTGACAAGAAAAAATGTCGACAATGAGCCGCTTTCGAAATTGAGAAAAGTACAAAATCTCAACTGAATATTCTCAATAACTGAAGTTTTTTTTATATTTCACTAGTCAAAAGTCCTAGTTTTATCAAACTGCTAACAACTAATTATAAAAAAAAAAAAACCGGCCACGTGAAAGTTGGACTCGCGCAGGAAGGGTTGTATCCGGTGCTAAGAAATAACTTCAGTAGCTTAACTCTTAAAAATATTTTTTATTGTTTAGGTATTTTAATACGTAAGACAAATCAATACATAATCGGTAAAATCGAGCCTAAAACAAATTCACTTATTCCCCCGAGTGTACAATGATGTAAGATAGAGACAGAGAGGGAGGGAAAGAGAGAGAGAGAAAGAAACGAAACATTATCGTTCGTGTTTGTGTGATGTCGCGCGTGAGTGACGACTTGACGCTAGATACGGTAGTAGTAAACATTCGGTACGGATTTTAATTTATTATCTATTTTATTACTGTGGGCTATTCAACTGAATTTTAGAATCAGAGTATAGGATTCACTATTTTAATGCTGTAAGAAATGAAAATGAATGAGACGTTTTATTATGTACTGTTTACCTATTTCCTTAAATAGAAAAAGCCCTAAAACGACCGACACAGCTAACAAACAAATGGTCATTAATTTGAAAAATAGTTCAAAATAGAAAAGGTGTATAAAATGAGTTAAAATTTTAAACAGGTATGTCGATTGTATGCACATTACTACGGCCCACGAAATACATTAATTTATTTATTTAACGATGTCTTATGATAGTCGATGCTACTTCCTCTCTACAGACTGAGCCAAGCATGCTCGTTTGCAGATGCAGCGTGAAAGTATATCACATTTCTCACTTAAACTAGTCTTTACCAAACATTAACAACGTTTAAGTTTGTAAACACTAAAAATACAACCATGTACTATCTTATCAACAACAATAAAAATTTACAAAATCTTTGTCAATTAACAATTCCTAATACGTATTATGTACTTACGTACGTATGTAAAAAATTTGTTGCAACAATGTCCTGCAACGATTTTTTTAATTTGTACAATAAAATGTTGATCACCTCGGTACTAGGCAACTAGAAGTTTAGGCTCAAACTTTAACATTGCCGCCTATCTAGGGTTGTCATCTATCCGTCTTTAGCGGGACATGTTTGACTTTTTAGATTGTGTGCAGCTAAATGTTAATGTCACATGTCCGGCGGTATAGTTTTCATAGGTTTTTGGTATACTTGTGCCGAAGCTATATAAAATAAACTATGAATACACACAAATTCGAAAAACGTCAAATACCCAAATACCCAAAAAGACGCAGTGTTGCACGGGAATTTGCGAAATTTGAATACAAATCGTTAGTTTGTTTGCATCGTATAGTCTCCGAAATTACTTTATAAAAAAAACCTTTTTCAAAATAGGTTGTGCAGTTTTGATGTTACGATCAAGCCTTATTTTATGAATTCACGTTTTGGCTGTGATAAAAGCGTTAAAATTATGATGTAGTTATCTTATCTTTAATTACCGCTTATTTGTATGTTACGTCTTACTACAAAATCAATTGAAAGTTAGTGATTTTTGCTTAACGCACCCTCTGAATAACTAGGCAGTAACCCTCGCGAAGCCGTGAACTAATATTACTGTCTACTACGGTAATATTGTTTTACGGCTTCGCGAGAGATTTGACTTAGTCCGGCTTTAAGGACAAAATTTCCGATCTAATAAGAGAAGATGGCAACCCTATCTCGCTACTTCTCAGATTTAATTGCGGAACTATAGGTACCTTTCTGTGCGCCTTTGACATGCCGCACACTATGCAGCGGCTTATAATAAAGGACTCAAATTGGCGGCTTTCCCTTTTTATCACTTTTTCTTTATTCAGTTGTTCATACGTCGTCGATGTGATCACGTTTCGAAAATGTCCGTGTTCTCTAATTCCGAGTTCTATGAAAAGTGCTTTTATCAGTGTTACATGGGATGCAGTGTTGTATTGATATAAATTGAGACTATTTTGAAAAGATGTAATTATACTGAAACGTCAGTGAACCAGAGGTTGGCCGCGATCTTTAGTTTTTTCTTGTGGAATAAAATTAAGTGCCTAATAAAGTGTAGGTGAGTGAACCTCACAAGTAATGCTTAAACAGTGAATAAGGAAGTGAAAAGGTAAAGTACAAATAGTAATTCGCAAATATTTATTTTTAAATACGCCAAAATCGTTTGTGAATTATGTCGCATATCATTTTTTTTTTATTATCGTAATATCAATCAGATTTGTCGGACCATTAAAGTATGAACTAAAAGTTACACTCGTATATCAGTGTTTAAATAAATTTTACCTATCTATCATAAATAGGTACTACTTAAAATGGTGTTTGATCTGTAATTCAGAAACAGCTGAGTCGGAAACGATGCTATGAAATGATGTGCGCGTTGATAATAATATGTATTATAATTTTTTTTACTGAAATTAGACTACCGGCTGAACAGCGTCGGTTACCATACCATTTTGCCAATGATTTGATTCCTATTTAATTTCTTTTCATTTTATTTTCGATCGAAATAGGTTAAGTATTTACTGTGTAAACTGGCAAACGCAGACATGTTTTTAAGTATATTTTCTCTCTCATTCTTAGTGTGTATGTGTGGGTGTGTACTAGGAGAATAGAAAAAAAAATTAGAAAACATAGGAGATAGGTAGTGTGCCATTACTCCTGGTAAGGTCATTAACCTAAAATAGTGATGTGACATAGCACACTCGATGTATTTATTAATTATTAAAAATTAGCCTTTTTACTGAAAGTTAAAAGTTAATGCAAAGGTTTTGAAAATTTGGCAGAGTACTGTTTATATGATATACTTCAACACCCTTCAGCTATAACGGGTATTTTTGTAACACCCGGTATATTTTTAATGGACCTTTAATTTGATACCCATAAAGTTATGATTATAAAAAACCATACTTTTTTAAATGGCGTCACACGTCCCCATACCTATTTAATATTAATAATTAAGCTAGTTTCAGTGATACTCTATGTATTTTGTGGTAACTTAGGATGATGTTTCTAATGATACCCTGTACATTCATATCCGTTATATCCTTCAAAAGTTATGGTGCAATAAAAATACTCACATACATACATTAATTCTAAAAACAATAGACTCCTTTTCGAGAGCAGTCGTTTAAAATATTCGGGAATCGATAATGAATCTCACCATAGAAATACTAAAATAAATACAAAAATTGGGAAAAGTATCAAAATAGCTTGAACGTGGTTTCAACACAGTACTGTGGACTCGTGACCTTGAACAAGTTCTCGAGAACTCAAATCACAGAGTGAAAATTTGTCATATGGCTCTTAATATTATTCTCAATCTAAGAAATATTTGTACCAACTACCAAAAAATATCTACTATTTAATACTTCAACACACATTATATTAAAATAAAGTTTGTCTTGTCTGCAGCTGTGCAATAGGGATGACGACTGGGTAAAAAAAATGCAATTCTATTTAGTCCATCAGTCAGATAATAGAAAAATATTAGATACGTATTTTTTTTTACTTCAATTTAACAAGGAGTAGCTTAGATAATAGACATTAAAGTTGAGGAGTGGGGGCTCGCTACGTCACAGTTTAGTAGAAAACGTACCATAACGTGACGTCATGCAAAATTTCAACTCCATGTAACGCCGTAATTTTATGATTACGAAAAAAATACGTGTTTAATATTTTTTAACACTACCTGACGGAAAAACAAACAAAAATTAGTTGTCATCCCTATTATCAAAACTAAACTGAATCAAGCTTTAAATCAACATTGTAAGAAAATTACGTATTTAAAAAAAAAGACGTATTTTTTTTCTTTTTTATACAGAATACAGAGTGGTTTTTTGACATTTTCTTTTTAAGACTTATTTCTATAGGGGCGTGGACAACTTTTTTTGTATTTTTATTTTATAGACATACATAAAATATTTAAAAAAATCATTTATTTATCATTTAGAATCTAAAAAAAAACTATTATATTATAAGCATAATAGTGTGATTATCGTTAATAGTGTATTAAATACTACCACAAAAAATAGGTATTTATTTTCGTTTGCTGTCCACATGCGTATTGTGTATCAACACTAAACTCTCTTCCTTGTGTTTACTTCAATCTTTATATAGGATCTGTCCTTCATTAGTGGAGACATTATTATGATGATTATCAACAGCATATTTTAGGTGCTAATACTAGTACTTTACGGATTCCAGGAGCCAACGAGCCTATATCTTGTTGGTGCGTTCTCAATTCCTTTGTGCGCACGTCGCCCGTCGTTGGATTTTTGGTGTGCCGTGACAAAGAAATATACAAGTGTCAACTTGGTGAGCCAAGGGCTGTTCTATTGGTAAGGTTTCAATAATAATATCAAGTAGGTGGTTTTGAGAAATAATATTTAAAACTAAACTTATTTGTTGTTGACCTGTAAATAAAAAAAATAGCATAACAAATCGAAAGCAAGTTGTCGGTTTAAGTCTTCTGATACTTAAAAATAAATACTTTTCGTTTTTATTTAATTTTTAAACTTTAACTCAACTTACTACATAATGTTATATATATATATATATATATATATATATCTATTTCATTTCTATAAATATACGACACTTGTTTTCAGCGTCCAGATATAAAGAACCCGTACACTCAAATCCTATCAATAGTACCATCACAGAACGGCAGGCATGTTGCACTCTTCACAGATTCTGGCTACATGTGGATCGGCTCATCAGATCTGAAGACCAAATATTGTGAGATTGATACTGGACATATTAAGCAACCAAAAGAATTGGTCTGGTAAGTGAACTTAATTCTTGAGCACAATAAAATAGATAGATTTTCAATTTTTTTCTTTGACTCCCGTCGGACAACATATTGACCTAAAATAGTGTAATAAATCATTTTGTTATTGCAAATAAATGAAGTGTTTAATAAAATAAGTTTTTTTAAAAAGCCATTCCTGACCGCCCCCGTAACAGTACGTTATTTATGTTTCAGGTGTGGTTCTCAGGCCATCGTGGGTCATTGGGACGACATTTTGTGTATTTATGGTTTCAATGGCAAATCTGTATCTTACCCATATGACGGACCGTTTCATATTATACAGGTGACTAATGTATATATGTTTTTCATCATCATCATGATTATTTCTTTTACTTCCCCACTGCAACAGCTCAAGTATTCCTTATATATATAGTTAAGGAGGATGTGTCGTGATCCTCTACGATCACCCAATGCGGATTGGTAAGTATTAACGCGAACGGCTTAGCGTGCCTTCCGAAGCACCTAGTAGATCGAGATAAAAAATTCGGTCACCCATTCCGTGACCGACCCTTGTGAAAGTTACTTAACAACAACCATCACGGGCCGCGGCGCTTATCTACTACGCCACTGAGCTACACGAGATATATTTTTACACGACTGTAACTAGTAAAAAAAAAAATAGCCTCCTGTACTATAGACGTATTATGTGACCTGATAATGTTCTAATTTATTGACTAATTTAGTATTTTTTTATTTACAGGAAATGGATTGTGTCAGAGTGCTATCAGAGTACAGTCATGAGTTAATTCAAAAAGTACCTGTCGAAGTGGAGAAAATATTTAGGATAAACAGTACTGCGCCTGGATCGTATCTAGTGGAAGCTTCTAAACAATTTCAAGTAGGTATTTACACATTGACGTAGCAAACATACGTATCCGTCGAACATAGAACCTCCTTTCGATTTGAAGTCTGTTAAAAAAAAATCGTACATTGTCATATTTTGTTGTAATTGTGAAAGAATAATATTTTTTCTCATTAACAACCCTAATGTATTGTGCTGTAAAATTTTGTCACGTCAATCGCAAACGTAATGTAGTCAGTAATTTTTCTTTTCCTGTTGCCAACGTCCATACCACATTGAGTACACCGGTTCTCGTCCGATCACCGAAGTTAAGCAATGTCGGGCGCGGTCAGTACTTGGATGGGTGAACACCGCGTGATGTAGGATTTTTTTTCATCTATTATTATTTTTGTAGGTTTTAATTGTTCCTTTGTAGTAATTCCGTCGCTTAGATTTTTTTTTTGTTATAGAAACGTAGTCACCGTGCTGATGAGTACATTAGACTGGTCAAACCGGATTTGCCGAATGCAGTTCAGAACTGTATAGATGCTGCAGCATTTGAATTCAATCCTGATGTACAGAAGATGCTGATCCGTGCCGCACAGTTCGGCAAGGGATTCATTACGGATCCGGTATTGACGGATCATTACGTGAATACATGCCGGTGGCTGAGGGTGCTCAATGCAGTAAGGGATCCGAAAGTTGCTATACCACTAACGTTTCGACAGTATCCTTTCAAAGTTTATGTTAGAACATAAGTAAAAAAAACATAATGCTTCAATTAAGATCCTATAATTTAATTATTATCAATAAATAAATTAAAATGGTACACTACACAATTTATATTTATTATTTAATAAAATAGTCAATAATTGAAATATATACACGTAAATGTAACACATGATCTGTATTAGACAAAGATAGAAATATACTGTAGTTATGATATCAAAATTTAATAAACTGTGATAGCTCCACGGTAACGTTATAGATAAAATAATGTCTCCAATCTATTTGTTTATAAAATGCGGGCTTATAAAGAGCCACGTTATTAAGTTAGCATAGGATATTTTATCATTTATCAGTTTACTAACTAATGACGTCATAAGAGTGTAAATTTGAAAACTTGTCTATTCGAGAATTGAAATGTTCCTCTTTTTTTTATTACTATGCAATCCTTGTTAATATTTCTTAACACATTTATTTAGAGTGGAAAATTTGGGTGAACGTGTATTACTAGACCGTTTGATATGGCGACGTCTTCACTGTTTAGCGGGTCACATCGCCACATATCTGCAACTTAAGGACGGAAGGACCAGAGTGCTGTCTCACTGGGCCTGTTATAAGGTATTGTTAAGGTGATCCCACACCTATACGCACCGAAAGGTTTTGTCACTGTGTTAGTAGAGTAAACAATACAGTTTGTTTATTAAAATTTTTCCTGTCAGTAATTTATTGATGTAACAAATGTATTTGACAGATATATATAGAATAGCAAAAATGTTTACCGGCGCTTAAATTCAAAGAGTTATTAATCAATCAAAAATCATAGCAATAGATACCGTCAATATTTGTTTTAAAGTGGAGGATTAGGGACTCGCTACTCCACAACTATGTAGACAATGTACAAAGGTGTGACGTCATACGACATTTCAACTCGGTGTTTCGCTGTAATTAATTCATTACGAAAATTATTAAAAACAGGTTTCTAATATTCTTCAGTAACCCACAGGACAGAAAAAAAAAATATCTGTTCCTAAGTGCGTTCGATTAGCGCAGGTTTGCGTTCAACTTTAATAAACTAATTGCGAACAATAGTTTTTGTTCAAAACATGATATAATAAATAGTGATCTATTTATTTTAATTCTAGGTTACACAATTACATTTGGATAACGAAAGTGCAGCCCGAGAGATAGGAGAAAAACTCCGGAATGTACCCGGCATCTCGTATTCGACGATCGCTATGAAAGCTCACGAGAAAGGTCGAAAAGCGCTTGCTATAAAGGTAAAAATATTAGCAAATAATATGGTTTTTATACGTGGTGGTTTTTATAGTAGTCATACTACACATATACACAGTACCTTGAGGAGACAAAGTAGGAAGAAATAGTTTCTCTATTTCTTAGGTGAGCGACATCCAAATGATCCTTAGAGTTATTCCACTTGTTTAAAGTTAAAACATTAAAAACGAAAAAGTCAACATCACACGGTGTTCCCAAGCGGTCACCCATCCAAGTACTGACCGCGCCCGACGTTGCTTAACTTCGGTGATCGGACGAGAACCGGTGTTTTCAACGTGGTATGGACGTTGGCAACAGGATAAGAAAAATTACTGATTACATTATATCAACACAATCTCAAAAGAACAATAACAAAAATCTTTTTACTTTTTTAAAAACGATTACCTATTTTCCCGCGACTTGGCTCGTGTAAATTTTATAACATTTCACCCATTTATTATATAGTTACCTGAAGTGCTTTCGGAGTTTATTCAAAGCAAACACACATACAATCAAGTCGTTCTTCTATATAATATTAGTAAAAGTTTATCTTTTATTCATGATGAATTATTTTTAATGCACAAAGATATGTGAGTAGAGGCAGACCGAAGAAAAGATGGATCGACTGTGTGAAAGAGGATATGAATAAGAAAGGTGTGGATGTGAGGCTGACGTCTGATAGAGAAGAATGGAAGAAGAAAACATGTTGTGCCGACCCCACGTAACGTGGGATAAAGGGCAGGAAGATGATGAATGCACAAAGAAAATAACTGACCACATTTCAATTTGTCATTGATTAAAATATCGCTGGCTAAACGTTTGTCTATTTGATCAGGAATTCGGGAGAAAGAAAAAACAATTTGTGAATAAACTTAGTGTAAAATGAAATTACACTACATTGAGTAAAATGGCGGCATTTTACATAATTTTTCATTTGTTTAAGTGCATTCGCCGAATAACGATGAAAAAAAAAACAAAAAGTATGTTTTTTCTGTTTTATTGAAATACAGCCACAATACAATTTGCAAAAAGTATTCCACAAGTTTAAAGTTAAAACATTAATTAACAAAAAGCCAACATCACGCGGTGTTCCCAGGCGGTCACCCATCCAAGTACTGACCGCGCCCGACATTGCTTAACTTCGGTGATCGGACGAGAACCGGTGTTTTCAACGTGGTATGGACGTTGGCGACAGGATAAGAAAAATTACTGACTACATTATACCAACACAATCTTAAAGGATGACGAACAAAAATCTGCTATTTTTAATAACAACTATTTTCCCGCGACTTGGCTCGTGTAAATATTATAAAATTTCACCGGTTTATTATGTAGCTACCTAAAGTACTTTCGGAGTATATTCAAAGCAAACACACATACAATCAAATCGTTCTTTTTTATCATATTAGTAAAAGTTTATCTTTTTTCCATGATGAATTATTTATGATGCATAAAGAAAATAACTGACCACATTAAAATTTGTCATTGATTAAAATATCGCTGGCTGAACGTTTGTCTATTTGATCAGGAATTCGGGAGAAAGAAAAATTCAATTTGTGAATAAACTTAGTGTAAAATGAAATTACACTACATTGAGTAAAATGGCGGCATTTTACATAATTTTTCACTTTTTTTACATTCCTCGTTGTAACGGCACTTTATATTGATAACTAACATAAGTAGAATTATCAAATGTGAAGTAAAATTGCATTCGCCGAATAACGATAAAAAAAAACAAGAAGTATTTTCTGTTTTATTGAAATACAGCCAGAATACAATTTGAAAAAAGTATTCCACAAGTTTAAAGTTAAAACATTAATTAATAAAAAGCCAACATCACGTGGTGTTCCCAGGCGGTCACCCATCCAAGTACTGACCGCGCGCGACGTTGCTTAACTTCGGTGATCGGACGAGAACCGGTGTTTTCAACGTGGTATGGACGTTGGCGACAGGATAAGAAAAATTACTGATTACATTATACCAACACAATCTTAAAGGATGACGAACAAAAATCTGCTATTTTTAAAAACAACTATTTTCCCGCGACTTGGCTCGTGTAAATATTATAAAATTTCACCGGTTTATTATGTAGCTACCTAAAGTACTTTCGGAGTATATTCAAAGCAAACACACATACAATCAAATCGTTCTTTTTTATCATATTAGTAAAAGTTTATCTTTTTTCCATGATGAATTATTTATGATGCATAAAGAAAATAACTGACCACATTAAAATTTTTCATTGATCAAAATATCGCTGGCTGAAGGTATGTCCATTTGATCAGGAATTCGGCAGAACGAAAAAACCAATTTGTGAATAAAATTTACTTAGTGTAAAATGCAATTACACTACATTGAGTTTAATGGCGGCATTTTACATAATTTTTCATTTGTTTACATTCCACGTTATAACGGCACTTTATTTTGATAACTAAGTAGAATTATCAAATGTGAAGTAAAATTGCATTCGCCTAATAACGATGTAAAAAAAAAATCAAAAAGTATTTTCTATTTTATTGAAATACAGGCAGAATTTAATTTGAAAAAAAGTATTCCACTTGTTTAAAGTTAAAACATTAAAAACGAAAAAGTCAACATCACGCGGTGTTCCCAGGCGGTCACCCATCCAAGTACTGACCGCGCCCGACGTTGCTTAACTTCGGTGATCGGACGAGAACCGGTGTTTTCAACGTGGTATGGACGTTGGCAACAGGATAAGAAAAATTACTGATTACATTATATCAACACAATCTCAAAAGAACACTAACAAAAATCTTTTTACTTTTTTAAAAACGATTACCTACTTTCCCGCGACTTGGCTCGTGTAAATTTTATAACATTTCACCCATTTATTATATAGCTACCTGAAGTGCTTTCGGAGTTTATTCAAAGCAAACACACATACAATCAAATCGTTCTTCTTTATCATATTAGTAAAAGTTTATCTTTTATTCATGATGAATTATTTTTAATGCACAAAGAAAATAACTGACCACATTTCAATTTGTCATTGATTAAAATATCGCTGGCTGAACGTTTGTCTATTTGATCAGGAATTCGGGAGAAAGAAAAAACAATTTGTGAATAAACTTTACTTAGTGTAAAATGAAATTACACTACATTGAATAAAATGGCGGTATTTTACATAATTTTTCACTTTTTTACATTCCTCGTTGTAACGGCACTTTATATTGATAACTAACATAAGTAGAATTATCAAATGTGAAGTAAAATTGCATTCGCCGAATAACGATAAAAAAAAACAAGAAGTATTTTCTGTTTTATTGAAATACAGCCAGAATACAATTTGAAAAAAGTATTCCACAAGTTTAAAGTTAAAACATTAATTAATAAAAAGCCAACATCACGTGGTGTTCCCAGGCGGTCACCCATCCAAGTACTGACCGCGCGCGACGTTGCTTAACTTCGGTGATCGGACGAGAACCGGTGTTTTCAACGTGGTATGGACGTTGGCGACAGGATAAGAAAAATTACTGATTACATTATACCAACACAATCTTAAAGGATGACGAACAAAAATCTGCTATTTTTAATAACAACTATTTTCCCGCGACTTGGCTCGTGTAAATATTATAAAATTTCACCGGTTTATTATGTAGCTACCTAAAGTACTTTCGGAGTATATTCAAAGCAAACACACATACAATCAAATCGTTCTTTTTTATCATATTAGTAAAAGTTTATCTTTTTTCCATGATGAATTATTTATGATGCATAAAGAAAATAACTGACCACATTAAAATTTGTCATTGATTAAAATATCGCTGGCTGAACGTTTGTCTATTTGATCAGGAATTCGGGAGAAAGAAAAATTCAATTTGTGAATAAACTTAGTGTAAAATGAAATTACACTACATTGAGTAAAATGGCGGCATTTTACATAATTTTTCACTTTTTTACATTCCTCGTTGTAACGGCACTTTATATTGATAACTAACATAAGTAGAATTATCAAATGTGAAGTAAAATTGCATTCGCCGAATAACGATAAAAAAAAACAAGAAGTATTTTCTGTTTTATTGAAATACAGCCAGAATACAATTTGAAAAAAGTATTCCACAAGTTTAAAGTTAAAACATTAATTAATAAAAAGCCAACATCACGTGGTGTTCCCAGGCGGTCACCCATCCAAGTACTGACCGCGCGCGACGTTGCTTAACTTCGGTGATCGGACGAGAACCGGTGTTTTCAACGTGGTATGGACGTTGGCGACAGGATAAGAAAAATTACTGATTACATTATACCAACACAATCTTAAAGGATGACGAACAAAAATCTGCTATTTTTAAAAACAACTATTTTCCCGCGACTTGGCTCGTGTAAATATTATAAAATTTCACCGGTTTATTATGTAGCTACCTAAAGTACTTTCGGAGTATATTCAAAGCAAACACACATACAATCAAATCGTTCTTTTTTATCATATTAGTAAAAGTTTATCTTTTTTCCATGATGAATTATTTATGATGCATAAAGAAAATAACTGACCACATTAAAATTTTTCATTGATCAAAATATCGCTGGCTGAAGGTATGTCCATTTGATCAGGAATTCGGCAGAACGAAAAAACCAATTTGTGAATAAACTTTACTTAGTGTAAAATGCAATTACACTACATTGAGTTTAATGGCGGCATTTTACATAATTTTTCATTTTTTTACATTCCACGTTATAACGGCACTTTATTTTGATAACTAAGTAGAATTATCAAATGTGAAGTAAAATTGCATTCGCCTAATAACGATGTAAAAAAAATCAAAAAGTATTTTCTATTTTATTGAAATACAGGCAGAATTTAATTTGAAAAAAAAGTATTCCACTTGTTTAAAGTTAAAACATTAAAAACGAAAAAGTCAACATCACGCGGTGTTCCCAGGCGGTCACCCATCCAAGTACTGACCGCGCCCGACGTTGCTTAACTTCGGTGATCGGACGAGAACCGGTGTTTTCAACGTGGTATGGACGTTGGCAACAGGATAAGCAAAATTACTGATTACATTATATCAACACAATCTCAAAAGAACACTAACAAAAATCTTTTTACTTTTTTAAAAACGATTACCTACTTTCCCGCGACTTGGCTCGTGTAAATTTTATAACATTTCACCCATTTATTATATAGCTACCTGAAGTGCTTTCGGAGTTTATTCAAAGCAAACACACATACAATCAAATCGTTCTTCTTTATCATATTAGTAAAAGTTTATCTTTTATTCATGATGAATTATTTTTAATGCACAAAGAAAATAACTGACCACATTTCAATTTGTCATTGATTAAAATATCGCTGGCTGAACGTTTGTCTATTTGATCAGGAATTCGGGAGAAAGAAAAAACAATTTGTGAATAAACTTTACTTAGTGTAAAATGAAATTACACTACATTGAATAAAATGGCGACATTTTACATAATTTTTCATTTGTTTAAGTGCATTCGCCGAATAACGATGAAAAAAAAACAAAAAGTATGTTTTTTTGTTTTATTGAAATACAGCCAGAATACAATTTGAAAAAAGTATTCTACAAGTTTAAAGTTAAAACATTAATTAACAAAAAGCCAACATCACACGGTGTTCCCTGGCGGTCACCCATCCAAGTACTGACCGCGCCCGACGTTGCTTAACTTCGGTGATCGGACGAGAACCGGTGTTTTCAACGTGGTATGGACGTTGGCGACAGGATAAGAAAAATTACTGATTACATTATATCAACACAATCTCAAAAGAACACTAACAAAAATCTTTTTACTTTTTTAAAAACGATTACCTACTTTCCCGCGACTTGGCTCGTGTAAATTTTATAACATTTCACCCATTTATTATATAGCTACCTGAAGTGCTTTCGGAGTTTATTCAAAGCAAACACACATACAAGCAAATCGTTCTTCTTTATCATATTAGTAAAAGTTTATCTTTTATTCATGATGAATTATTTTTAATGCACAAAAAAAATAACTGACCACATTTCAATTTGTCATTGATTAAAATATCGCTGGCTGAACGTTTGTCTATTTGATCAGGAATTCGGGAGAAAGAAAAATTCAATTTGTGAATAAACTTAGTGTAAAATGAAATTACACTACATTGAGTAAAATGGCGGCATTTTACATAATTTTTCACTTTTTTACATTCCTCGTTGTAACGGCACTTTATATTGATAACTAACATAAGTAGAATTATCAAATGTGAAGTAAAATTGCATTCGCCGAATAACGATAAAAAAAAACAAGAAGTATTTTCTGTTTTATTGAAATACAGCCAGAATACAATTTGAAAAAAGTATTCCACAAGTTTAAAGTTAAAACATTAATTAATAAAAAGCCAACATCACGTGGTGTTCCCAGGCGGTCACCCATCCAAGTACTGACCGCGCGCGACGTTGCTTAACTTCGGTGATCGGACGAGAACCGGTGTTTTCAACGTGGTATGGACGTTGGCGACAGGATAAGAAAAATTACTGATTACATTATACCAACACAATTTTAAAGGATGACGAACAAAAATCTGCTATTTTTAAAAACAACTATTTTCCCGCGACTTGGCTCGTGTAAATTTTATAACATTTCACCCATTTATTATATAGCTACCTGAAGTGCTTTCGGAGTTTATTCAAAGCAAACACACATACAATCAAATCGTTCTTCTTTATCATATTAGTAAAAGTTTATCTTTTATTCATGATGAATTATTTTTAATGCACAAAGAAAATAACTGACCACATTTCAATTTGTAATTGATCAAAATATCGCTGGCTGAACGTATGTCCATTGGATCTGGAATCCGGGAGAAAAAAAACCATTTATGAATAAACATTGCTTAGTGTAAAATGAAATTATACTACATTGGGTAAAATGGCGTCATTTTACATAATTTTTCATTTTTATACATTCCACGTTGTTACGGCCCTTTATTTTGATAACTAATCAGAATTATCAAATGTGAAGTAAAATTGCATTCGCCTAATAACGATGTAAAAAAAACAACAAAAAATATTTTCTATATTATTGAAACACAGCCAGAATTTAACTTGAAAAAAGTATTCCACAAGTTTAAAGTTAAAACATTAATTAACAAAAAGCCAACATCACGCGGTGTTCCCAGGCGGTCACCCATCCAAGTACTGACCGCGCCCGACGTTGCTTAACTTCGGTGATCGGACGAGAACCGGTGTTTTCAACGTGGTATGGACGTTGGCGACAGGAAAAGAAAAATTACTGACTACAACATATCAACACAATCACAAAATATAACGAACAAAATTCTTTGCATTTTTTTAAAATTATTATGCATGCAGCTATTTTCCCGCGACTTGGATCGTGTAAATTTTATAAAATTTCACCCGCGTATTATATATAATAATAACTTATTCAAATCAAACACACAAACAATCAATTCGTTCTTCTTAATAATATTAGCCACATTGCAATTTGACATTGATTTAAATATCGCTGGCTGAACGCATGTCCTTTTGATCAGGAATTCGGGAGGAAGAAAAAACCAATTTATGATTAAACTTTACTTAGTGTAAAATAAAATTACACTACATTGTGTAAAATGGCGGCATTTTACATAATTTTTAATTTGTTTACATTCCACGTTATTTTATTGAAACACACCTAGTTTATAATTTGAGAAAAGTATTCCACAAGTTTAAAGTAAAAACATTAATTAACAAAAAGCCAACATCACGCGGTGTTCCCAGGCGGTCACCCATCCAAGTACTGACCGCGCCCGACGTTGCTTAACTTCGGTGATCGGACGAGAACCGGTGTTTTCAACGTGGTATGGACGTTGGCGACAAAACTAACAAAATTACGAGTCCGATTCATATCAGTAGCTAATAGATCAACTAATAATATAATGACATGCTCGCCCTTCAGTCGGTCATCACGTGTTTTTGAAAATATTATTTTGGCAAATACCTTTTGATTTTTTTTCTATTTGAATTGTTTTGTGATTGTGTATAGTCAAATCAAGTACGTATAAAAACCGATAATACGTTTGCATTTAATAAGCTCCGGAAGTACTGGACTGATTATAAAAATTATTTACCTACGAGACATCATACGCGGATAACATAGCCTATAATTTATGCGAACGAAGTCGCGAGAACAGCCAGTATTAAATATATTCAAAAAACTATAGTAGACAAACAGCATGGCTGAAATGATCACCTGTAATGATTATGGATCCCGGAGAAGATTACATACTTGACTTGATTATGAAGTCTACATGATTGAAGCAAATATTGACCGTCTACCGCGTTGACTTGATGTTCCCCTTCAAGTCGTTTTACGGCTTAATCAAAATTGACGGCACTTGATACGCATGTGTGTGACGCGTCTTGGCGGGTTAAAAAAATCTACATTATTGAAGGAAATATTGACCGTTTACGCCGTTGACATTAAGTTACCGTCAAGGCGACTTGATGAGATTTTTTATATTTAATGTTTGATAGCATTAAATATTTTACTCTTTGTTGATGCCACTTGATACTCTTGTGCTCACAAACTCCATGATCCAGGCTTGACGCTACTCGACGGTACTGGACAAGAATTTCAATTTTCTGGATAAGCTGCTTTCATCCAACACAGAAATTGTGGATGATAATCAGGAAATAAGCACAGATATAGAAGAACGTTAAAAGATAATAAATATTTCGAAAATAGAAGCCGTATCTTAAGATATTTGTGATACTTGAAGTCTTGCACGTCAAGAAAAAACTGTAGAAATAAGGCTTGTTTTATTTAATTGTTTTTTATTTTCTAAATAAATATTCATCGCAATGACATAGTAAACCTACATCCTATATCTGTTAACGTCCTCAGACAGTATAACAAAAAATGCCAAAGTAGGCTCTCTTTTCCTTACATACTATACTGGTTGTAACATTATGAACAGTCAGTATGGGAAATACCAAGATCTGTTTTTAGGAATCACGTCATCGAATTTAGTGAAAAGAGAAACTGCAGTTTAAAGGCGTTATTAAACCTTAATGGACGTTTGTGCAATTGATCTTTAAAAAAGATTTTGTTTATTTCCTCGACCTAAGAAATCATCTTCCAATAATACTATTCTCATATTATAAATGTTTGCATTTGGGTAGATCCGAACCTATTCAATCAATTTATAAATTAATCAGTTTAAAAATTAATAAATTAATCGATTTATAAATTAATAAGCTACATAGTAGATACGCGTTGGACACAGGCTATATTTTACACAGGCAAAGTCGCTGGGAAACATCTAGTTTGATAAAATTGGTCCACAATTCAAAAAGAAATCGATTGAAATACTTAATTTCATAAAAAATATACACACTCCTTGAGCATAGAAAATCCTTCTTTCAGATTTTAAACAAAATCCAAATACGCAATCTGTTTTTGCACTGCACTGCTGCCCATTACTCTTACAATAAGCGTATTTTGTTTTGTTATAAAAGGAAAATTACTGATTCGATTCGATAAAATTTAAATGTGACTACATTGGTCTATTGAGCTGTCGAATACAATAATAATTTTGAAAATCGGCCAACTATTGGCGGAAATATCGGTGAACATACATCGGCGACGAACATATAACTTCATTTTTTTGAATTTTGTAGTCTGTTAAAAATAGCATAGATTACATCACATAATGTCAGGAACACATGGCATAAATGTGTCACTATAATAAATCTATTCATTATTTCGATACGATTCTTGCCAACGTCCATACCACGTTGAAAACACCGGTTCTCGTCCGATCACCGAAGTTAAGCAACGTCGGGCGCGGTCAGTACTTGGATGGGTGACCGCCTGGGAACACCGCGTGATGTTGGATTTTTTTGTTTTGTTTATTTATTTTATTTAATACCAAAACCATAAAAGTGTATTATATTTAAAATATATTTTCTAATGCTTAGATCTTGGAGTATGAGACGCGCAGTAAGCTACAAGTACCACTGCTGTTGGCCCTGGGCGAGGGTAGCGCGGCACTCCTACGTGCGGCACATAGTGGAGACACTGACTTATTGCATGTAGTGTTATTGCATCTCAAGGCGAACATGGCGAAACACGAGTTTGAGGTATGTTGGTTACACAGGATATCAATTGGTTTTCTCAATACATGGGAAGCAATGTTTTTCCGCAATAAAATAATATAAACTATGCCACAAATAAAACGTTTTAACAGTTAAGTTAATTCATAAGTATATTAAACGTGCTATTCGTTAAAAATAATAAAAGAAACCGTCCAAGGCGAGTCGGGCTCGCGCACGAACGGTTCCGTACTGGAAACAAGCAAAAAAAAACACGTTTGTTGTATGGGAGCCCCCCTTTGAATATTTATTTAACTTAAATGTAATTATTTATTTTTAATATATAAGTATAAATACATTATATATTTCAAGCGTCTACCTGTTGTCTTAATCAATATCGAGCAAAAACAAGCAAAACAATCATATTTGTTGTATGCAAGCCTCTTTAAATATTTATTTTATTCTTGTTTTTAGTATATGTGTTAGCGGCAACAGAACTTACTTACTTTCACACACTATTCATGAGATACAGCCTGGTGACATACAGACAGACAGCGAAGTCTTAGTAATAAGGTTTAAGCATCCCTAAATATTCAGGACTTGAAACCGGTTTAGAAAATACCGGTAAATAAAGGCCTATACCAGTTTGTAGTAAAGGTTTTGTTCGAAGCGGTTCCGAAATGAAAGTGGTACCTAAAACCTCAATAAACTGGTTTAATCCAGAGCGAGATGTGCATGTATACATTGATAAGGCAGTAAATACTGAATGTTTACTATATTAGATAAGTTTTTACTCTTTAGGGACAGTTAAAAACTTTTTATCGGTTTTTTTTTGTCTTAGGTTGTTTGCTGTTTTTGTTGTTTAATAGTATGAAACGATATCCACTAAACAGTCCAATTTACATTATACCATATTATTATTTGTTAGTTTTAAGGGGGTATGAAGTTCCGTATGGTACTATGTCAGTGCCGAATTAAGCCAGAGCAGGGCCCGTAGCAACACACCCTCACCCCCGAAACAGAAAAGTCATCCATTGCTTTCCAAATAATACAACAAAACTAACATATGACTTGAGTTTTATTTGTTATTTTTTGCATTATTTACCACTGAATTGTATAATTAATTAATTGGCTCTGAACCTTAGCGAGGCTCCCAATTGCGCAGGGCCCGTAACAAATGCTACTTTTGCTACGTGGCTAATCCGGCCCTGACTGTAGTCACTGTTACTTGAAATATATAATGTAACTCGCCGCCAGAATTACAGTAGCTCTTTAAGCCTAGTAACCTCTAAAAACTCATCGTTTTTATATCTTCAGGAGGCTAATCGTCCAATTTCAAAATCTATAGTAAAAAATTATTTATTTTTAATGTGCAGCGCCCGGTTAAGGCTCGTAGAATATTACTTCTTTTACAATGAAATGTTACAAATCGAGAAAAATGTGTTTGTTAGATTTTTTTACACTTAATTAATCTCAAGCAAACCAGGGGGGCGATCACTTACTGACCCTTAATACGGCACTGATTTAAGTTACTTCTCTTGCCCACCAGCTGACCATACGTAGCTTCCCGCTCGCGCACGCTTTATATCTAAAGTACTGCGCGAGTCATAACAGAGAAGCGCTCCGGAAGATATACGTGCAGGAAGACGACTTCCCGGGTCAGGCCTCTACCCACATACGTGACGCGTTAGAACACACAACTCCGGGTAGCGCTGAGGCATCACTTATATCCGCCAGGGAGTGTTACAAGAAGGGCAAGAACGACTTAGGTAGCTATCTATACTAAAAATGAGGAGGAATGATTTGATTGTTTATTTGTATGTTTGTTTGTTTTCATCGAATGGGCCACCACTGAAACGATTTTAAAAATTCTTTCACCTACGTAAAGCTACATCGTATGCGGTGAAGATAGGCTATATTTTATTTCGAAAAACAGCAAATAAAGAGATAAAAATGGGAGTGGAACTTAGTACATGGAATTAAAACTTTGCCATAGTAAACATTGTTTACTACTTGTCATTGTCATTATATAAAACCTTATCCAAATGAATTATTAAATTAAATACTAAGACTGAATTAACATAAGGGCTACTTTTTATTCCACTAAACAGTTCCCTGGGTACCATACGGGTGAAGCCGCTGGCGGAAAGCTAGTATTATTATAATATTCTTTATTGCCCTACTTAAACAGGACACATCAAAAATCATCAGTACATACAAGACGAACTTATTGCTTAGCAGTCATAAGGTGGCCTTAATGGTTCAGAAAATTAAACCAATAAATAAGGAGTAAAAGGGTAATATTGAAATTTCCGACAACCCAAGTAAGTCGGTGTAAATAACGTGAAAACCTGCTCAATATTTTTAAAGTTTTATTTTTAATCATATAAACAAGGTCCAATCTAGCTATTTCACTGCTCCGAGCAGGAGTAAAGTCATATCTTGCTATCTTGGTGTAATAAGTTGTTAGTGAATTTATCTAGATTCCAAATATAATCTTCAGAAAAGTGCATTTACAATGACCGCGGGCGGACATTTTAGCGTTTGTACGCATTAGGGTGACTGCAGCTGACAGGTGAAAAATTATACGCACAATCGTAGTATCAGTGCTTTCGAATTTACTCTTGTCTGTCTGTTACGCCTAAACAAACACTTTTTTGGTTAAGCAGTTCAATTTTAATGAAATAGTGAAAGCTGACCTTAGAACAGAACATGTTAACTTTTATAACCAAAAAAAGGATTTGACGGGGTTGAAATAAGGAACGAAAATTTGTATAGAAGTATATTTTTGTTAAATATAAATTAATATTTAACTTGGCGTTTTTTCAAAATGCAGCTAAAGGTAACTTACACGTGCACGAAGTCGCGGACAGAGAGAATTTCGTACGTTGACCTTTGTGGCTACTGTTAGATATCGTGAACATATAAGTTTATTCACATTATTACAACAAAATTGTCTAGATGCATTTGTGCGAGCGCAATAGCAATTGCACGAGAGTGAAAGAGATATGTAATGCTGGGTCGTTGCACGAATTTCTTTCTGGTCGGCGACCATACGAAAGTGATATATTTGCAGGTGCGTCGATATGTGAAGACGCTCGTAAACTTTACAAGCAGCAGTCCAGTCTACAGGAGACTTACGGCGAGAGTTTCGTTGGCCTCTCACTGCACGATACCGTGCGAAAGCTATTGTTACAAGGGGAACTCAAGTTGGCAGAGAAACTGCGTGCCGAATACAAAGTACCCGATAGAAGGTACATTATTCACCTAGTAATCAGAAATTGGAGTAGCTAGATTGATTTATTTGTACTTGTATCATATAAGCTCATAGAAAGAATGATATGGATAAGACATTTTCTGGAAAGTATTTCCGGGTTCGACTAAGGGTTTATTTGTTCGCGAATTTCTAATTTTTTTTTATAATTTTGTTAAAATCATATTATGTGTTCATATGTCACGTAAAATATTACACAACACTCGAAAGACCGTTCCGGCGGAGTTATTAAGCACAGTAAAAAGAGCAGGTCTCGACCCTCGAACCTCTGAAAACATGTTAAACCGTTGGTCTCGTTGGCATCTGTAGTTAACACCTACAAATCCGCAAAGGGTCCGTGATGGTTTTTATATTAGTCAATTTACCCTATTCGATTATATCCATTAGAGCGGCTGGTGTTTCAGCAGGGGAACCAATAATTATACAGTTTCCTCTCCTTACCGGGTTGGTTTAGAGTATACGGAAAGGGGCATTGAAGAAAATTTCTGATCACAGTTCTAATATAACCTAAACAAACAAAGGCAGGGGTCGGTAACCTGCGCCTATTTTGATATAAAGTTGCATTTCTCAAGTTCCATTTACAAAAAGAAATAATTATGTACCTGTCGAAACCCTATAAATCGTGTAATCGATCCGTAGTTGAGTACCCACACTATAACAGGTACGACTGAGAAATGACAGGCATAAATATTCAAAATTGTTTGTTTTAAATAATGTTTCAAATATAATATTAATAATATTGAAATGAAATCTTTCAGTGGCTAATAGAAATGTGGGATGTTGTAAATTTTAATTTTACTATGTTAAATAAAACACTTCTATCCAGATTCTGGTGGCTCCGCATACTGACGCTAGCGGAGAAGAACGAGTGGACGGAACTGGACAAGTTCAGTAAATCCAAGAAGTCCCCCGTTGGTTATGAACCATTCGTTGACGCTTGTCTGATGAGACATAAACCAGAAGAAGCACAGCGATACTTACCACGTTGTCAGGAACATGTCAAAGTCAAGTACTACGTCAAGGCTGGGTGAGTTATAAACTCAACACTTATCTTCTATACTAATATTATAAAGAGGAAAACTTTGTTTGTTTGTAATGAATCGGCTCAAAAACTACTAGACCGATTTCAAAATTTTTTTCACCATTCGAAAGCTACATTACCCACGAGTAACATAGGCTATATTTTATTTTGGAAAAAAATAGGGTTCCGTAAGATATTTGGATTTTTCGGACACAGGTGTAAAAAATCAACCAGAAAAGTTAGTTATTTTGCGTACGCTGCCTAAACTATAAAAGATAGAACCATAAAATGTTTTAATGAACTGTAGATCTTATAAATATATACAAAAAAAGTCTGCGACACACTATACCTATCTATGTCGAGTGAGGCACAACAACCATTTCTTTATTTAAAAATCTTGTTTCTTTTTTTTTACTACTAGTAAACGCGTAGTACTTATTACTTTATGTTAAATGAAAAAACTTAAAAAACAAAAACTTGGGTGGTCCAATTTTTTCCTTCACTAGTTCAGGTGGTATTTTGCCTGGCAAGAAAAACAAGTCAAAGAACTTAAGCCCTAGTGTAGAAGTTTCAATGACGACAAAACTGAAATTAGGAATACACAAATTTCACTATTATCCTAATTTTCTATTTTCTGTGTAATAATAAATAATTTCACACAGCAATGGTATTTTTTTTCTTACAGATTTTACGAAGAAGCCGCTCAAGTAGCTTTCGAGCAAAAGGACGAGAACGCACTGCTTTTTGTACAGAATAAGTGTCCATTACGCGAGTCCGGTAAACATGAGAAAATATCGGCTCTACTCGAACAACTTGCCAACAAGAAATGAGCGGTATTGACAACGCTATAAGACTTATTTTTCGTAAATAACAAGAAAAACTGTATGTAAACTCCTTATTATAACCGCTCTATTGCACATCATATATCATAAAAGTAGTTAATAAGCTAGAACAAAATATATTTAAAAACAAGTAGGTATATTAAGACATTAATATCGATTTGTATATTTGAAAGTTTTCATATTAAATAAAACTATGTATATCTCAATAAAAACCAAATATTAATAAGTTATCGTGTGTTATATTTAAATTATAAATAAAAAACAGTAACTGCTATGGTTGTATTAATTTATTTTAAAATACACAAATGGATTGATTACAAAAACATAATTCTATAAGAAACAGCTTATGGTTAAGGCAGAACGTCGTGGTTTCATTTGCTTTAACTTTTAAACTATTATCAAGATACTGCACACAGAATCCAGGCTGGCTGGATGTAGTTTAGATCACTCTCTGGAGTCCTGTGCGATGCCAAAATACCAATGAAAAACCAAATGGATTGTGTACAAGAGAGCTGTAAGTCCGGCTATGCTCTATGGTTCCAAGTGTTGGGCGATAAGAAAGAGTGATGAACATAAAGTACATGTTGTTGAAATGAAAATGCTGGGCTGGCGTCACCAGATTAGATAAAATCAGGAACGAATGTATACACGGGTAATTCAAAGTCGCAAAAATTAGGACAAAATGCGAGAAAACCGTTTGCGCTGTTATGAGCATGTCTTGTGTAGAAGGAGAAGCATATGACGAGGCGAGTGATGGATGTGGAGGAGGGATTACTTGCCAGAGGGCAGGCGGGTCCGTTCCACCATCATCAGGTGGTTGGCACCTGGATGAGGGCCGTAGCTAATGATCTCAAAACCCTGGAGTTAAAGACAATAGGGAATGTGCCAGAAGATTGATTGAATTATTAAAATTAGTTTAGATACTGTCAAATTGCGTTTTTAACTCTCATAAAAATAGTAAACATCAGAAGTAAATTTATTATAGTAGACAGGGGTCTTTGATAAAATGAGGCTACAACGTTCTCTCATATTAAAATATTTCTTTTAGTTTGGTTAAATTTAGTAAAGAGAGCGGAACATCGTAATTGGCACCTATGTTGATGTAATAAAAGAATATATTTGATGTGTTTTAATTTCCTAAATACTTCTATTTGACCAAATTTAATCAATACAAATAAGACTGCTTACACACGCGTTTTTTTGTCATAAAATAAAAGTAGGCACGATTGCCAGTACTGAAATTAATACAAACATTTTTAATAACAAAAGTTGTAAATCACTAGCGCCATCTGTTGAAAGTAATGAAACTGCGACGTTCCACCTTACATATTGAGGACATCACAAAACAAATCACGGAGCTGACAAGTTGACCTTCAATTTAGATTAAAAACATAAAGAAGAAAATGTAATTTTTAACGTTAAAAAAATACAATGATTTTGAATTATTGAATAGGAGATAGAAAAAGAATTCAACTTCATCTTAATCTCTTATATTTTAAGTTTTTTAGAAATAGTAGGTAATCGTTGTTATTTTATATTATAATCCAGTGATAATGTTAATACTTCTGCTGTATAAGTATGTTGAACTAAGAGAATGCTAAATAAAAATCTATCGAGTAATATAACTACATAATAATCGAGATATAAGTGAAAATTATTTCGCCATTTTCTTTGTTAATTTATGGTTAATTCTTACAGAGGTAGGTATTCGTATTAATTAATATTCAATCTAACATAACCCAGAAAAAAAGCAAAAACTCAAACGACAACTTAACATATTTACCGATATTCATTCTTAAAAATGTTTCATTCTCGAGTTTGTTTATAATGAATCTTTATTTATATATTTTTAAATCAGTGTTCTACTGTTATTCACAACCATTTTATAGATTTCAAACATATTTGATGACTGGAAGCTTTGTTTTCAATTGGAAATCTGCCAGAATCCAAGTCGACGACAACGTCAAGCCTAATACAGATACTTTGTTCGTTTACAATACTTCAACTACCATTCTACACAACATTGAAAAATTGGTCTTAAGTTTAATTGACGACAAACTGATATCATACAAATATAGTTACCATTGCAGACAATCATCTTTCAAAATAAATAAATTTCAAACACAAAAAATAACCCAATAATCTTGTGATAAAGTTTCTAGACAAAATATTATAGGACACCAATAACGCTTACTTATTTCCAAGATCTTTAAACAGTCATGAACCAGTGCAGTAACAATTAAATGTTCTTTTTTAAAAAAATGCACATGAATTTATTTGTTGACAAACACACATTTATAGTATTAGAGAAAATCTTTAGCATGTATGAAGTCTATAGTTACACATGAAATTAATAAATTAAAAATAAAAAATTATTATAAAGATAGTTAATTGCCATTAGAAACAATTGCTAAAGATTCTTGGCAATACCTTTCATAAATAGTACCTACATGCAAACATAAATGTAAAATAAAATGAGCATACAATATTATGTCTTTGAGGAAAATATTTAACATATATACAAACCAACTATCAGTCTTGAATAATGACTAATAAACCATTTGGATGAAGGGGGCACTATAAGCAAATGAGCGTGTATCTTAAAAACAATTTCACTTATAGGCAAATTCTAAAATACTCATAACAAACAATGTTTCATAAATTTCTTCACACTATATTAATTTAATATTCTTAAACGGGTTCTGAAGAGCTTTTTAAAAGTTTTATGAAAATAATTTATAAATATTCAATAATGTATAAATAGTAATATATAATTACCTTTTAAAATTGACAAATTAAAATTTATTCTACACAAATAAATCAATTTTGTAAAGCATTTTTTTTGTGTTATTTTACAGTAGACCTTACCTTATAATAGGGAGGTTATTGAAAACGCGAACAAGACTCCGCTAGTTCGCTGCTAATACCATACCAAAAAAGGTTGTGACAGAAGTTTATCGATATAAGCTTTTATTTTTCTATAAACTTGGTACCATATTCATAAGAAGGTCATTCAAGTTAATGATAATAGGACTGGGTAGGACGAGATGGCGGTTACATCAGCAATATCTAGGATTGTAGGCATTTTTGTTTTATTGCACAATTTAATTTGTTATAGAGTCTAATATTATAATTTTATTTAGTAAAGAAATGGGAATTGTGGGAGAATTATACGTATTTTAGCTGACGAGAGGGGCATCAAAAATATTAAAATGTTGCTTGGGTAAAACTTGAATGGCCCCTAATTTGCTTAAATAAATATATGAACATATCAAACGACAATTTAAAATAAGGCTTGTATAGAAATCCGATAACAATAAAACTGCGGCACGGAACTCTTTCTAACACTAGAAGTTTCCTTTTTATAGTAACATGACCACACCATTTCCAACGAAATTTCTACAAATATCAAACTGCCTACTTTATAGTCATATTGTATAAAATTTTCATCAGAACGTCACAAGATTTTCACCATCATCAGTATGATACGCTTTAATCTTTACAAATAGTTTCTATATACTTTTGATCAGGCATTACTCGTTATGACTATACTTATTCAAATTCGCGTTCTACGCTCCGCATCCCTTGTTTTTAAGCACCTCGTTCTTTTTTCTACATTTTTAAAGCTGCACTCAATTTCACCAGCCGTTAAAAGTCAGTCTCACTATTACCAACGTACGAAATATATTTTAGTTTACTCTTAATATTTAATCTCTTACTTGATCTAAGAGTAAGTCGACCTTAAACTCAGACATAAATTATTATCAATCATGTAGATAAAAAGTGACGTTAATAAAGCGAACTTTCAGATTTCCCTTATTAGAAGCCTATAACACAATTAATATAAGATGCTTAAAGACTATGTTGTTTTTTCTGTTTTACACAATATAATTATGCACGACAAATTATTTGAAATGGAGAAGTATTTTATTCTGTGATTTTATTACTCGAATACTAATCTAATAGTCGTCATACACAATCCAAGCTCTTCAATTGTCTCTTAATTTAATTTTTTCATTTATTTTTAACAAGGGTAACTGCTAAGCTAAAAAATGAAAAAAGATGCGATTATGCCTTATGATCTAAATAATAATTATAATATCAATTATGGTTTCGAAAATATATTTTAAAAATACTTAAAATGCTAAAAAGCTGAAATACTTCTTTGGCTAAAATTTCAGTGACTAATTAATATATTAGGCTCGTGTTTTGCAAATAATATTTTCTAACACGAAGTTTGATGCATATCAAAATAAATTAGCATAACCATGACAATAATGATGGCGTGACAAGCCTTAAATCTACATTTTGCAGGAGCACTTCCTTACAAGCATTTTTTTTTATCATTTTCTAAGTATTATTATCACATTTACGAGTATATCTTTAATCCTAAATCAATATACGACACTTAAGACAATATGTTGTTTTTTTGTAATTTTTCCCATAGCTTAATATAAAAACTAACATTTTGTAAATGTTCAAAGACAATTATAAATAATTTAATGAAGCTACTCTACGTGAGTTGAAATGTATATAATATTAAGTACGCACATTCATGTGGACAGGTTTTTATGTATTTAGGTAGGTAATGGCACAAAAGAAATTGTTGAAAACATTAACATTTTTTACACCTAAGTATAGGAGCTTCAGGGGTGCGACGCCTATCTCTCAAGACATGGCTAGCCATAGGATGCGATATCTTAACGGTATCACGGCGATAATCCTTTTCATTTTACTAACTTTGACATGGTCCTTATTAACGACGAACGAATGATAAAACATAGCAGTGTGACCAACTTTATCCACTAAAAGATATGTGAAAGAGTAAAATGAAACGAAATATCCTATGTCTAGAGAGTTAAGCGGTAGCAACACTGGACACAAAAGTAGACATGGAAGCGTGAAATTCACCTTTGTGACATCAAGTAAAGATAGGAATTTCAAATTTGTATCTATTAATAAAATATATTAAGCCAAATCCCAACAACTGAGGAACAACAAACCTTGTATCGAGGATGTATTAAAATATAGAATCCCATTATTCGGCATTATTGCTTTAAAAAAAAACCTTATTGCAGACTTATTACTTGCACACTAATCATCGTATTTTTTTTTCATTCAAACTAATTTGGATATCGTGACAGTACTCTATTCGAACATTTTCACAGTCTACAAATTTAAGATGCTACAAATAAATGTTAAAATCTTTTTCTTTACAATTGTCAATTTTAATTTAAAAGAAAATTATTTTTTCGACTTTTTAGTGTGTACGTAATTGGCCTTTAATTTTTGTACTTGACAGCAAATACTGACTCCGGCTGACGTTTAGAAGGAAGACAGTATAAGGTAGATATAGTAAACGTTTACAGTGACGAATAAGCATACGGTAACATTTCAAAGAGTTAATCTGTTCAAAACAAATACCGTATAACGCCATCACATACACGGTTCAGAAAGAGATTGACAGCACAATAAGATCTGTTTTCTTTCAATTTATTTTACTTAAACCATAAGACTCACAGCCAGTTACGCAAACATCCATTAAAGTTTTCATTCGTTTAAAGCGACATTATCCATACAAATTTGAAATTTATCAGAACTAAAGGCATCATTAAACCTTAATGGACGTTTGTGCAATTGACCATCAGTTTATCAAATAAAAGAATCCAACGAAAAACAAGTACATTTTATTTCTTTTTGGGCTGATCATAAATATTCACACCTATACCTAATAAACAATTGCATAAATGAAATATACACGCGCACATGGTAAGGAAAATAAAATACTATGTTAAAAATATTTTTAAGTCACAAAATAAAAAAAAACATGAAACCACTTTCGTTGGATCCCTCCAAGCCACTACATCTGACCGAATGTCCGTGCTACAACTATCAGTCTCATTCTGAGCTTACATCATAATGAATCTTTAAGATTACAATCACTATAAACTCTAGTCTAACATTAAAAAAAAAAACAAATAAATAACTTCTTGTCTAATGAAAATAAAAACACGGTCCCGTTAGATGAAGGTGCTGAGTTTGTGCAATATAAATAGTACTAAGTACGAATAAAACAATGCACGTGAATAAGCTTGAAGCTTTAGCATAGACACCTGCATTTAATGGGAGATAAATATTTAAGAGACATAACAAACATTAAATAGATGAGAATGAAGCTTTTTTTCTGTAACTTCTTATAATAGGAACTGTAAGTTCGTAACTAAAGTAATGATTTTAAATTCGTATCTTGCTATTTTTCAACTTATTGACAAAGGGTTGCCACTTTAGTTTCCAAATAAAATTGTATAATAAAACACACTAACCGATTTATTTGCAAAACGAGAATGGTTTTTAACATCTACTAGAAATACACACACAAGAAATACATAAAAAAATAGTTAAAAAAAATCCCTTCGCACATCGCGACTGCTCTAATCAAGCTATAGTCGAAGCAAGAATGTCGAATTTCGTAAGTTTTTTAAAAGATCAAAAATATAGAATTGTAAATGCCAAATTCACTAGAATAATGAATAGAATAAGATCTTATTTAAAATGTTTTATAGTAATCTGGTTTATAGTTTTATTATTGAATAATTTGTTTAATCAGCAACTTATAGGACAAAATAAGGTAAGAATAAAGTGGCAACCCTATTCACACTATGTTTTTAATTGGCCGAATCGTTGAATGAAGGCATGACCGATATTGGCTGCGTATTCTGTACGGTTACCTTTGGGGCGACGATCTTCATTTTGTCCATGTTTGGGGTTAAAGAAGGCAGCATCCCCAAAGCGCTCAAGTTATGCTTTGGAATAGTAAATGCGGGTAGTTCTTTGGTTGTAAGCGCGTCGTATATACGGACCAGTTTACTATCTGTATCTATGTTCATTTGCCTCGCAGGCGCAGCGGTCACCACTAACGGGGCTCTGGCTGTTATATGATGGGTCAACGAGTGACTTTTAAGGCCTTGAGCGGTTTTGTAACTTTTGCCGCATTGGCATTTGTATGCCTTTTTTACCCTGGAAATGTCAAATTAATAATCAATGTAACATTAAACTAACTCTTATTATATGCCTGGTTGATATAAGTAGGTATAAACTATTAAAAAATCTAAATTACTTTTAAAATGATACATACTATGATATGGTATTCTTCTTCTCATATAATAGAATATAAATTAATTATATCATAGGACTAAAGCTACATAAGTCAGAATTACAGCTAATAGCAGGTAAGTACCTACACAAATTAAATACTATACTCACATATTAAACACATCATCTATTAAAATCTGATAGCATTATATCTACAGTGTCTTCCTCATTTCATTTAAGAGCCTTGATAATATTGCTACGGTGTAATTATTGATTAGACAGAGAACGGCTAGTACCTATAAGATGGCGGCCGACAGACGAGAGGTTAACAATATTATAATCTAATTTTCATCTAATCACCATACGACGGTGATTTATGAAAACTGCCCTAATTACATTAATTAATTTTGTTGTATCAGTCCTAAACCAAAGTCGAGCGGGTCGTTATAGGTACTTTAAAACGACGAAAGCGCTTCAACGAGAATTCAACCATCTACCAATTTATGATTACCTACTTCTAAATATATATAACTGGATAATTTTCAAGGACAAGTGTGTACCCATTTTTTCCAGAAGTATTCTTGTGCAGTCAAACGTTTCTTAGGTCCCGAAATAAACTTTTTATTGTAATGGTCAGGTGTAGCCAACATGGGGTACCTTTTATTAAAAATTACAACAGTTCAAAATCATTAGGCCTCGAAAAAATGTGAAAATATAAATGAATGTACAGCAGTTTGCTACATAAGACTAATTCTCCATTCGATTTCAAGCCTTAATCTCTATAGTTAACCCGGCGTAAATGAACCAGGGTTTTTTACCAGTGTTTAAATATTCACACACTGATCATAATTTATGAATGCCAACCACCATCCCTATTAGTAACCACTGCCATACAGTGGCGAACAAAAGGGGGGGCGGAGGAGGTGGTTGAAAAAAGTTGTCGACCCGGGCCTCCGATGAGACTAATCCCCCACTGCAGCTATTTAGGAAATATTGCGTCGATTGTTTAATTCCAATTAATATTGTATGTAACGTAGTTAATGATAGTTGCGGTTAACCAGAGTTCATAGTTTACGCGACTTTTTTTCATATATCGGTTAAAGATTATGAAACGAACACTTACTTTCCATCCTTTTTGTGTCCATTTTTAGAGTGGTATTTGATGCCGTTTACGTTCTTGTATCGCTTCTTACAACCGGGCACAGGGCACGCGAAAGGCTTCTCCTGAGCCGCTGGACCTAACGCACCAGATAATGCACTCGCGTTCATTCTAGAACAAGATATCTATTCAATTCCAAACGAAAATTGCCAATGCAGTAGCTCGATGCTGCGCGGCCGGTCTGCGATACGGTTGTTAAGGACCGGTCATAGGATAGGCAAACAAAAATTTACTATCTCGAACTCCTCCGTGGGCATGTACACGTAAAGCCGATTGGCCTGAGCTGCATCTGCAGTCTTTTATGCTCACCAATCCGCACTGGGCTCGTGTGGTGGGTCATAACCTATTCTCCCTATTAGATTTGATTCGATTCCATCCATATCATAGGCCCCATCAGTGGGGATGAACAGGCTTGTGATGAGGATGACGATGACTGCATTTCTAACCGTAACTCGGTCTACGTGGATTGTGGATTTCAGCTTTTGTGAAATACTATCTTATTTAATCAAATCAGATGTTACCTTGGAAAAGTAAATTACTAGAACTGTAAAGTAGAATATTTGCCTACTTACTTATGTTGGTTATATGCCTACATCATAGATCTAACGACCATAAAGGAAACATATGTAAAGTTGTTGGTGGTGGTAGCGAGATTATTTTCCGTTCTTACAAATGTGTGTATTTGCGGAAGAACTGGCAGTGTATACCTACGTAGTGTATTATTCTATACACTAAGTCTAAGTAAAAAGGTTGACTAAGTCACTAAATGTCATAATTTTACAGTTACTTATAAATTCAGCCTATGAAATTTACCTGTAGGCCAAATATCATCAAAATCTATGGAGTAGTAACAATGTAAGATATCCAATAGCTTCATAATTATAATATCAAAATATTTAGGATTTATATTTCTCGTTGGTTTAAATTGATTAAGATATTTTTTGTAACTTACTTGACACCGTATCGCAATATGTAGTCGGAGCTGTATTCTTCGACAGTGGTCCAAGAGTCATTACTATCTTCTGATGGACTCATAATCTCGTCTTCGTCCATTTCACTTCCTATAATTACGATAAACAACAACATCATTAAACGCCCATAAGATACAAAAAAAAAATACTTGAAAATATATTATTGCAACAGAGAATACGATGGTTATGTGATGAACATAACTGTCCAAATAAAGGCAAGAATAAGTGGATTCGTTTCTCGAGGGCGATTTTCTACGAAAACATAAGCGACTTCAAGTTCAATGCTGCAGACTAAAGAGACGATTAAATACTCTTGATAGTTCGAAGGATGCTGGGCCAGATGAAATACCTCCTTACTTTATTACTCAATGTGCCGATGCTCTTGTTTTTCCTTTATACATGATTTTTAATAAGTGTCTGAACTCTGGTCAATTTCTGGAAAGTTGCTAAAGTAGTGCCGTTCCACAAAAGTGGCGATAAAAACAATATTATAAACTAGAGACCCGGGTAATCCCGAAAGTTTTTGAAGCTTTAATATACCCGCATTTTCATAATCATATAAAACATCTAATTATAAATCGGCAACATGGGTTCTTAAGGGCTAGATCAACCAACACAAATATCTTAACTTTCACCAATGTAATTGTGGAAAGTATGGACGCCCAACTGCAGACTGATGCCATCTATACTGATTTATCTAGGGCATTCGATAAAATCCGCCACAAAATACTGTTATATGAGTTGTCGACGTATAGATTCTGTGGATCTCTTTTGCTTTGGCTGCAGTCATATCTGTTTAAACGTTTTATCAATCGCATTCATATTTTAAAAGGCTATCAAAGTCAGGTAGCTCAGGGTTCTCACATTGGGCCTTTGCTCTTCAATGTTTTCATAAATGACATTGTCGATATAGTCAAGAACAGTGAAATATTTTTGTATGCGGATGACCTAAAACTGAGTAGGGCGATGCGTTGTGCGGGGTATGCCAAACAATTTCAACTAGACTTGGATGGGTTAGTGGATTGGTGCAAATACAATAATATGTCTTTTAACATTGACAAATGTTACCATATTAAACTGACCAGAAAATCCACAATATTTGAAACAAGCTGCAATCACTATTCGTGATTTGGGCGTCATAATAGATTCCAAACTAACGTTTATACCTCACATCAATGATATTGTTGCTGGGCCCACAAAAGCTCTTAATTTTATAATAAAAATGGCAAAGTATTCAAAAACCCAGTGACGTAGGTAATTATTTATAATAGCTTTGTTAGAAGTGTGCTGGAGTGCTCGGTGATTTGGTCTCCTTAGTACTGTGTTCATCAACTGCGCATTGCACGAATCCAGAAACGCTTCACGCGACCAAATTTGCGTCTAATGCTTGCCTACATTTTAAACATATTGAATAAACGATTAGCAAGCGTTTCAGTCCATTTTAAAGATATTCACAAGCACACATGTGAATATCTTTCTAATGTCAAAACTAAAGGTATTACGATAAATTTTAAAATTAGATAATAAGCGCCCTTTTAATAACTTAAAATTTTATACCTAGATTAGATACAAAATTTTCATTGAGATTTACAAAAAAAATTGAACAAAAAAAATGTATACCAGTAGGAGTATTGCTCCGGACAGATGGTGTATTAGGTGCGGACAGCAGACGACGCCGGACATCCGGTACTGGTGGAAGGTTGTGAATTTCCCGCTTGGATGCCTCCGTGAAGAATCTCAATACGTAACTTAGGGGTATACATGCTGGCTGTGACGCTTCTTTCTGTTCAACAACTGCTGGATCATAGTCTTAAAAGAAGTATTTAACATTATAATATTTGCTGCGCATTTGGTAAATCCGTAAATAAAATCAAAAGTTATACTGTTTTTTAAAAAAAAATAAGCAGCTTTTAATTACTAACAATAATATACTGGTACAACCAAATAAGGTATAATACAGTTAAATCGTTATTTTACTAAAATAAAAAGTTCCCGCAAAAATTCAAATCCCTGTACAATGGCACCAATGCTGACAATATGACAGTATTGATAAGACGTATTATAATGGAATGGCCACGGATTACATTACAAAGGTTATGCTAGAAATAAGTTGAATCTAATTGGAAATAAATTATACTCACCAATGTGGACATCTTCTATATGTTCTATTAGCTCCGCCAATCTTGGGAATGTAATGCCACAGCCATTGAATTTACAGATGTTTATCATGAAGACGGCCATGTCGTTTAAGATAATGTTGGAGTCAATTACACGACTATACTATGTAGCCTACATTTGTTATCTTTTCCTAAATTCTGCAAATATGTTTTATTGCATATTTGTTTTAATTATTATATAGAGAGACTTAATTTGCTTTGTTATTACAAAATCGAAAGCGTTAGCATTAAGCTTTTTACAACTTAAAAAGTAGTGTTTTATAACAGTCACTCGCGCAGATTGATCGATAGTTGGCTGCGCCGAACGGAATTTCGTGCTATTCCAACCAATAGAAAAACAGAATTTGTGTTCCTTTTCACTTCACTGCTGTCAGAATTGAACATTCCAATATTCCAAAGGCCGGTCTCCTCCCTTTCGGTGTTCTTTGGTAAGTGCGGTAAAAATTCGTGAATAAAACCAATCGTGAAAAAGTGTTCAAATTATAAGCCATCACTGGAAATAAAGTGTTATTATCAATTCCTGTAGGCTTATAGTGTGTGGTAGTGATATTATTTATTAGTGAAACTGTAAGTTGTTCATAAAAAATTTCATTGAAATAAGAGTAGAAGGCGACTCAATTGATACGGCCATTTTCTGTCTTACAATCGAATAATAACAGCCGGTAACATTTTCCAATTATTGTTTATAAAACTCCTAATATTTCTACTAAAACTGGCAATCAAATATAGCTATGGAAGCCGCTGAAGGTTTCTGTTACGTAGTCGGTAAATTACGTAACCCTTAGCGGTTCGTCGGTCAAACTATCGGTCGTTTGACAGTATATTCTTTTGGTTTCGGTACTTAGATCTATTTACAAACTTTCTTCATCTCATTAGAGTTGCGGTTTCTTACAGTTGTCGCTCGCCGCACCCAAATTCACACAAAATGCTGTCTGCCGCTAGACTGATCGCCCCTGTAGCCAGGTCTGCCGTAAGTATCATTGAATTTTTATATAGAGTTTTAATTTACAGAACAAAGTGCTTATCTAACAATGTCATTTCAATGCTACATTAGTCCTGCGATTATTAGTATCGACTTATGATATTGCATAATCAACTTTTTGATAGTTGCTCTCTAAGTAAGATAATTACTGTTGTTCAAGAACAAGAGGAATAGTTTCAAAAGGTATCATTGTACTCCAAACTAAACTTGAATATGGTTTTATTATAAATTTTCAGGATTTCAAAATTAAATCTTGTGTTGATTGACTCGGTACGGATAAATATTTCTGATATACCAATTCAATATACTTAGTCCACGAGTTGTGTAAGTCAGTAGGAAATTTATTCATATTCTGTTTCTGTTAATAAATGTGCAAATGTTTTAAAGATTTTCAGCAACACTGCACTGGTCAGGCCACTGGCAGCAGTACCCTCGCAGACACAGATTGTGGCTGCTGCCCCCTCCCAGCAGCTATCAGCAGTGCGCTCATTCCAGACCACCTCAGTGACCAAAGACATTGACTCAGCTGCCAAATTCATTGGTGCTGGTGCAGCGACAGTCGGTGTAGCGGGTTCCGGTTAGTATCAAAACTGTTATATAAGTGCCTTTATTAACACTTTCCTTGTGTGATGTTTTTGCTAATCCATTTAACAATTTAAACCATGTGCTTGTTACTTTTGTCTACATTATAAATTAAATTTATAGTAAACTAATATTTCTATTAAATGTGTTTGTCTCTTCGATCACATTGCATAATCTAATGATAATGTAAAAAGTACATGTTCTTATTTAACACCTTATTACTTTACTAACTGGTATTATTGATATTTTTTGAAGTCCAAGAATTATGGCATTCATACATATCTTGAAACACCTAACCATCCTCAATTCTTTTAAATAAATAGCCAGATTATGTAATCTCAATTTGTTACTGATTAATAGTTCAATAACAAGACATTATGAAGAACAATTATTTGATTATTGATTCACCTAACATTTACTTAGGTGCCGGGCAAAAGTAAAAAACTATATGAAATTCAAGTACTTCTTAATAATAACCTTAGTTCAATTTAAAAAATACTAGTTCAGAAAACTTTCATACATTGAACTTTGCAGTCTGTGTTGAGGTTTGCCATGCCGCCATGAGTATGCCTATGTTTATATACCATAGGAAATCTAAAGATATGTACACTTTACTAAAAATCTTGGACTGTCAAAAAATGTTCCTATCCTTTCCATTTCCTTAACCCTAGTTATGCACTGATGAAACTTTTACATAGAAAACCTGTTGTGAATGTACAAAAACATTTATCAATAAAATATGATGGGTAAATTTTATTTAGAAATGTCACGTGTTTCTTCAGTATGAAACTAGGGTACCAAATATATCTTGCTAACCATTTCAATGTTACCCTGCAGGAATCGGTATAGGGGTGGTTTTTGGATGCTTAATCATTGGCTATGCACGCAATCCTTCATTGAAACAACAAATATTTTCATATGCCATCCTGGGGTTTGCACTGTCTGAAGCTATGGGACTGTTCTGTTTGATGATTGCATTCCTAATGTTATTTGCCTTTTAGACCTTTTTTTGGAATGAAGATTTGTACAGTGTATATTCGCTATTGTGGACACCATGCTTTTTTTTTTGCATGTTTTTGTATGCAATTTATTGATTTTCTTATAATTTTGATATGAAGATAGCAAACAGGTGAGACGCTTTTATATTTATTTTTATTTAGATTATTTATTACCAGTAATTAAGAGAGACTTTGTAGTTGAATAAATCAATGTAACTTGATTGTTAAAGATTTTATCTAATGAAAAAGTAAATTGAGTAACCTTTATCTGGCAGTTATGTTGGAGAAAATCTAATTATAAAAATTTAAACTTGTGCATATTTCTGAAAATAAAAACAGAATCTGTAACCAACAACAGCACCATTACATCTGTTTATATAATAACTTACTATCTTATTATTTATGGATTTCCATTTATGAAATACTAATGTGGATCATTTGATATTTCAGGAGCGGGTATTGGAACAGTGTTCGGTTCATTGATTATCGGCTATGCCAGGAACCCCTCCCTGAAACAGCAGCTGTTCTCATACGCCATCTTGGGTTTCGCCCTGTCTGAGGCTATGGGTCTCTTCTGTCTTATGATGGCCTTCCTGCTGCTGTTCGCCTTCTAAGCTCTTTACTGTTAAGAACACTACTGCCATCCATCATAATGAGGTTTCAGTGTATACTATCTGGTGTGGACGGCCATTGGAATCAAATGTGTGGAAACCTCAGCCTCAGTGATGCAATGACTGATGTGTACAGTGTTACACTTATAACCAGTGCGTCATCTTGATTGCAATTTATTTAATTATGTAGTTTAAAAGGAAATCTGCAAATAAAATGTTGTACGTAAACATTATCTGGAGCTACAATTATTTCTACTCCTGTATATTAGACTGTTTAAATCATGTAAAGTCGGTGACGATATTATAAAGCCAGTGAATGCATAATTGCGTGTGTATTGCCATCGACTTTGGTGTAAACGTTATCCTGTTTGAGAATGTCGGTCATCATCTGTAATGTACATTTTTAGGGCCAATAAATGATACAAATTAAAATCCATTCGGCGTTTATTCTTGCCAGCCTTTTACCAATTTTTATTATCATCAGATACCGTTAAATAAATTACATTCTAGTGTGTTCGTCAATTCAGCAGCGCCACCCTCTTCGATTTTGAAATTCGATTTGAAACTTGAGCAATCTACTACCTTATTTATCAGTTTATGAAATATCCTATTTCGTAAAGGACTGATAAATATTGACAAATAGTTTTTCAGAGATAAAAGAAAGTCTTAAAGCAGTATGACGTCAACTCGGCAGGCCACTGCTAGACCTCTTAAATTACAAAGAAATATCCAGGTCACCTTTAATCTGTTATAAGTCTGGGGCCAGAGTATAGAGTAGGTGCTCATCATACTTACGCACCGAAAATGGTTTGTATGCAAGCGCGCCCGTGCGTATTATCATCAGACACAATTGCAAAAAAATGCATAAATACATAATTCATTAAAACCACGTTTTAAATCTACAAAACACTAAATTGATGACATGACTTGGGTATGAAAATCATTGCAGTCTATATTTTAGAGATTGAGCAAGCATTTCTGACGATTCAACATTTAGGACTGTCCCTTATAGGTTTATAAGGGACAGCCCTAAATATTTAGGCTACCATCTCTCGCTCGGGCAAAGTATAAACTCTGGTCTCGAGTGCACCTACTTATATGTATATTTGTACTGTGCTGGGACATAGCAACTTTATTAAATACCAGAGTAAATATTTTTAAATTAAGAAAAGTGGTGCTGCTGGACTGACGTCAGATTTGAAATGAAATAATTATTGGCACATTACAAAATAAAGTCCAATGACAAAATTAAATAGTTTCGGAGACAAATGAGTTTGAGGTGCTGATGGGCCGAGGTCAACGTGGCAGCACTACAACTAAAACTAATATAATTTTCCAATAACTGTAGTCTGTCTCATATCAAATGAAATTCTATCGGAGCCAGTGACGTCATTTGAAAAGTGCAAATAATCTCTTAATTTTTAACAGATAACAAGGGCCAGTTTACCGTTGAATTTAAATATAAATACTATAGGTACACGACAATTTTCTTTCATTGAAAATCACTTGTTTACCCTACAAATGACGTCATGTCCTCCGTATCGCCGTATACACAGTTTTTTCAAACATTTAAATTTTAACCATATTTGTGGGTATATTTATTTATATTATATATTATATTGTGGGTATATTTATATTTATTAATTTAAAACAGTTTTCAGAATTCCCGTGTCATACTAAAATACTTTGTCATAGCGCCAATAATTGGATAAAGTATGTACTTTTAGAAATAAGAAATTATGTGTCGCTTTTTTTTTTTGTTTATGGCTTCTGGGCCGATGTCCTTTTAGCATGAATTCAAACATTGAAATTTTCAAGTTTCTACGAAAATAGGGACGCTTAATTTTTGTTCGTTTGTCAGTCGTGTAGTTTATTGAAGAATATTAAACAGGTATTTTTTATTTTTTGAGTTGAATGTTGCATGACGTCACGCTTTTTTGCATTTTCTACTAAACTTCACTTATCTTTTTCTATTATCTGACTGATGGACTAAATAGAATTTCTTATTTTTTAACCAGACGTCATCCCTATGCACCACCTTGTGTACCATGAAATGGAGTATTTTTCGCAAATTATCTCCATAACCAGAAAGTATTTCACCGCTCCGACTATTCCAACTAAATGTTCGAGTCTCATATTACTGTGACGAAATACTCTTATATCTGATAAAAAACTTCGGATCGGAATATTTTGGACAGCCCTGCGATTCTGTAAAAATTCACTCAGGTGTCCGAATTTACGTCATTTAGTGTAAAAATTCTATTGATTCCATTTTTTTATGAAATACAATACAAAATTGAGTAATTATACGTGTCTCAGACATTCTATTCCGATGACAGTTTGAAACACACTTGACTTATGCTACGAAATTTTATTATATACCGATTCAAGATTGAGCAGATGCCGCTTTTTGAAGTGATTTCGAAATCGGTATGGATTTTTACAGAATCACAAGGCAGTATTGAAAATAAAGGCTGCTTAATTCTATCAGCCGATGGCAAACTTTCCTAATGCTAAAATCATAGCAAACACTCTTGCCTAACCATAATTCATTTATATAGTATATCTATGGTTATAACGTGTTAAAACCTAGATTTGAATAATTGTGGATTTTACTTTCTGCTGATAAAATAGCCAGTTGCAGTTACGGAGATAGAGATAAGTCTTTGTGGTGCTGCTGGGCTGTCGTCAACCTGGCAGTGCCAAAGTTGGAACTTTGTATTTTTCTAAAGTCATCTTGTAGTTCCATATTTATAAGTCAGAGACATAGCAACGATAAATGGCTAGAGTAAATACTTTAGAGACAATTTAGAAATAATATGGAGCTTTTGAGCTGATTATCTTCTAAGCTTAGCATTTTAGAAGCTCATTCTTTTTAGCCGACTACGGCCAAGCGAAAAGCATGTATGTAAGAATGTTAATCTGTTTCCTTATAACTTATATTTAAATTGACAACAGTGCCCTCTAGAGAGCATGAAATAAGAAACTAAAAAATTATTATTCATCACATTTGATTGATTGACTGACATAACAAAACAAACTGTTGTGACATACGACTAGGTGATCATCGCCATCTTTTATTCATTTCATTTTCATTTTACATGTAAAAATTAATTTATTTACTTCACATTGGCAGAATTGTGCGAAATGCGCAGATAAGCCATTATTTAAAAAAGAAGAAGAAGAAGGCATACGACTATGCTGTCCTTTGGTCATTCCTATTATAATACCTATAGCTGTCACTATAAATTTCTTGTCATAAAATATTGAAACTTTTGACATTCTGCGAGTATTCACCCATCTATTACGCATCACAAAGAGAACTATCCCCAGTACTCCCTGGTTCTTTAAGGAGAAGCTTTTAAGTTAAAAAAAACTATTTCGATTATTTGTCGCCTGAGAGTTGGATATGTGTGTTCCCCAGTTCGACTTGCCAAATTTAAAATTAAAGACAACCCCCTCTGCGATTGTGGCACTGAGGAAGGAACTACGGACCATATTTTATTTAATTGTTCAAATTTATCCATTTCGCTTTATGATTTGCTACCATCAAAAGTTCCACGTCCAACAAATATAAAATGTATCTTAAGAATGGAGAAACCCAGCCCATTCAAAATTTTATCTAAATTCCTTGCGATCAATAATAGACTTAATTTATAAATATCTTTGTTTTCTATATACATTCTATTTGTATTATCTTTAACAGTCTAATCAGATAGACGCGCTCAGCTATTTCTTTTTTAAATTTAAATTTACATATTTGATTATTGTTTCTATACGTGTAAAGACCACAAACGTGACATTGGCGGAATTGTTCAAATGCAAATAGGCCATGAATTAAAAAAAGAAGAAAAAGAAGCATTTTACCGCGCTGACTATTCCAATCGAATGTTAGTCTCATTATTGTAGCAAATACTGTTATAATGTCATCAAACTTTGAATCAGAATAATTAAGGATTAACACATTTGACTCAAATCCACAATTGACCTGGTTCGAGCACATATGGTTACAAAACTATTTCGTCAATAATATGAGACTAGAACATTCGATGGGAATAGAATGAACACCCTTAGGCTATAATTTATGCAGGCGAAGTCGCGGGAAAACAGCTAGTTATAAATAAAAGGACAATATTTTCAACAAATTTTATTGCAAATATGTTTTTAATGAAAACCATTTACGTGCATACCTCCATCAATGAGTAGGGAGGTAAGCACTTAAATGTTTTGTTTACAAAATATTACTTGTTACATCATTTATTTGTCCAGGCATTCTTAATGCTCTATTTTAGAATTCCACATATTGACTTTGTATGTAAGCAAAATGAACACAATCCAATATTCTATATGGCTTGCATTCAATTTGCAAATAAAATAGCACACCATATTAGAAACAAGTTCTCAAAGAAATGTAAAAACTAAATTCATTCACTCACTACACCACATAGCACGTTTGTATAAAACATTAATATATCTACTTCAACCATCACCACTTAAGGAAGGTTCACAAATTTTGGTGTTAGTAGATATCACTTAAACGTCGAACAACTTGTACATAATTTCACATCATAAAATCTAATCGTTAACTAAAATTTTATTGGTAGGCAGGCACTATCGAAATTTATGATGCAATGCAATGGCATAAGTAGGTGGATTGGCTACATCCGATAGAGGAAAAACTAGCAAATTATACCATGTTTTTTAAGAATTATAAGTTCACTAATTTCTAACGCTGCTGTAAAAGCTAAAGTCATAATGGGACGTTTATTTATAATTTTTTAACAAACCTATACATGCTATCAAGTTTAAATAAGCACTTAGCAAGAAAAACATATTTCATTAATGTAGTGATAAACTATAATTTATTTAAAATATTTTATTAACAAGGTCAGAAATTGTATAGCTATTTGCGCCGACGCTTCCCATTCAAACGTCGCACTAGAATCGTATGGACAAAACGTCACCATTTCAAAACAAATAAATTACTATAATCCTCACTTATTAGAAAACAAAAAAAAAAACGATTCTATGTTAAATGAATGTGTATTTTATATTTTTTTTATTCAAAATAAAATCTATCTTCACGTATTATACTTTCACACCGGGCAGTACCCATTGTACATACGCCACCGGAATGCATGCAGGTACTGGCGCTATTACTCAGATGGAACTTAACATTATCCTAGATAATTTACAATGTAATGCTGCAAAGGTAAAACTAATTCAACAAGGCACAACAAAATAAGATTCAATGTCTACACTTCCTTGAGAAGAATACAACTCTTTAAATATGTATAATAATAAATCATAACATAATATTATTATTTCTGTAGACACGTCAGCGGCGTACCAAAATACATACATAATTTGGGATACAAGACGATTTAACAATTAACACTATTTCTTTTTCTGTTTGAAACAATATCGGGGTTCAGATATGTATTTGTATTTAGCGACATTGATGAACCTTCACATTTATTTCTTTAAATTGTCTATTTTTCCTTTTATTTCTTTTAATACTAAGATTGAATGTTGCATAACACAAATTGTTCAAGCATTGTAGGTTTAATCGTAACTTTCGGAAAAATAATATCGTGTAAAATACCCGCAAACTGCTAATGCGCTTGTCCACCATTTTAATGGCGTAATTACGTTAAAAATCAGTACCATTACCAAATAAACACTGATTGATGCGTAGTTGGATTGGAGGTGGGATTTGTTGAGATAACACATTATTCTTGTTATGTTTTTGTTGGTTTCAATTGTTATTGTTAAGTTTGGATGTTACTTCTTATGGTTGACAAAAATAACAACTGCTATTATTTCACAATTAGTAAACATAATTTCACTAACAAGAAATATATATCTCTCTCATTTAATTATTACTTTTGGTTATATTTAAATAAATGTCCTTCTCGTTTGTTATCGTGCTGTTACAAGTAAATGTTATTTTCTTTTTTTTTATTTGCCATATATTTATACTATAATCTACATACATATAATATTTACATATAAATAGTTTTTTTTTCTCTATCGTCTTTTGTATCTCTTGGCTTGTGCTATTTATACTTACATTGACGTCACGAGGGTGTTATTTAGGGCCGGTATTTTGATCCGTAGTCAAATGTCATTTCACCATTTGTTAACTTGTTAAAATGTTAACCATTTGTTAACCCGCTATTTCATTTTTGATGTCAAATTAACCATAACCAAAGTTAACCATTGGTTAATATGTTGCCAGCACAGTGAGTCGTCCTTTCGCTATACATTGACATGGGTAATTTGTTTTTGTGGGTGACAACACTGACGGTTTGAATAAACGGAGCTTCCTATATATCATTCTTGACATTAGGATTTTGTTCCAAATATCAAATAGAACAATGAAATCTTTAGGTTACCAGTGTGGATTTGTATGGTTGTTGTCTTGTACGCACTGTGTTATTTTACAGGAAATAAAGGGCAATTTACTTAATTGTATCAGAAAATAACAAATAAAAATTGTTTTGGAATAATTTTAGACTAAAAAAGCATGTTTTTTTATTTTATTTTTATCTTATAGAAAAATACTTAAAAAAATTATAGCATCAAGTGTTCAAGGCGGGAATGTAATATTGTAGAATAAAGGAATTTGTATTTTATATACTGTAGGCATTTAAACCTTTTGTATTGTCTACTCGTAGATTTTATAAGATTTTTTTAATATTTTGACTCTTAGAAACAAGAAAATAAACGATTTTATATAGTACAAATATACTAAGGATGATTAAGACAAAAATATAACTTATTTTCAAAAACCCAAAAATGAGAATGAATATTTTCTTATGAAACTGCATCATAAAACGAAATCCCAAAAATAACTAATGTCCAAATTCACTGTGAATTATGTAGGTTATAAAAACAACGGAAAAAACAATGACAAGGGACCGGTACAGCGCAGTTGTACATCTTAACCTAGCTCCCAGCCATAGTAATTTTTTTTTAACAATAGTTAAAACCAATAATTGTAACAATTGGTTAGACTAACTATTGATTAAAAAACATATTCTTCTGATATTTAACCATTTGCCGAAGATTTTAACAAATGGTTAAGTTAACCATGGATCAAAAAACCGGCTCTTAGACAAGGTTCCAGCGCAATGGCAATTTACGGGACAAGTTTCTAAAGAATATAAAAGTAGTTTCAGATTAAATGATTTTTTCACTAAAAGAGACTATGGTTGTGTTTAGTAAAAATGTTCATATTATAACTGCTGTATTTTGATATATGTCCAAGCGAAGTTTAAGTGAAGTGTAATTTATGTTTTAAGCGACATCAACTATAACAAACGAGCGGGTAAACATTCAAAATATCTATTGTCTTGTCTCTATGAAGTCAATCTACTCAAAAAATGTACAAGATTATTATCGAATTAAAGCAATATAAAACAAAACGTGCTCTAAAGCCAAGAAACTGGGCCGAAATGATAAAAATCTAGTGCTTCCTGATACATACACGTCAATATTCGCCACAATGTCGCTTAACACAAATATAGTCCATAACCGATATAATGTAAGCCTGTCAACAACAACAAATTTACAATGTATCTACTATAGACAACTCTTGCGAGGTACTCAATATGAACATCCCTGATATGCAATATACAAGATTGTAAATATTTATCAACTATCATGATTTTAACCTACCGCAAAACAAAAATAAGGCATTTCCTACAAGTCACGTTTATTGAACATAATTTCAAGTCAAGGCTGTACGCACACTCGCTTATGATTCGAATCCATAGAAATTTAGTTTTGTCACATAATCTGTTTATTTATTTTTTTTATGAGATCAACACTCGTAATATTATTTGGTCCAAAAATTTAAAAAGTAAAATTTTCTGTGAACTCGATTCATAAAGCCAACTTACACAATTATATTTGGCTCAACCTAGTTCCGTAAAATCTATTATTACAGCTAAACTTCACCAAATAACCATATAGCTCATCTTTTATGGACTAATTACTATTATCCTGATATTCGCTTTGTAGGCGTGTTCCATCAGTATAGCGAGATCAATACTGCTAAACTTATGGAACTTTAAATATTCTTTACATTATAAATAGAAGTTATGTAACATGGTATTAACATATCTAAATGGCTTCAGTTTCAAACTGACTGCCCTTACTAATGGTGATAGGTCCGTAGGTTTCGTGCTGCTCTAATTTTAACACTTGATGCTTCTTGAGGACGAGTAAACTATAGAATTTTTGTGCTACCTGCAAACGAATAATTTAGGTTAATAACAATTTTTTGGGCAACCGGAACTAATAAACAGTTTCATAAAAATTATTATAAATTACTTTTAGTGTTTTAGAGATGGGCTGGGTTTTAATTACGAGTAGTATTTTGATATGTAGCATTCTCTGTATACTTTCACCAACATTTGTTAATTTGAATAATACAGAAGTGAGTATTGACTGAAATTGGGTGTTACTAATTTGACAAGCATCTTAATACGACTGTTTAAAATGGTTTTCACACCTCAAACTAGCATATGTGAGCCGAGTAATTCTGCTGGATACTCGTAAGGAACGGTTATATCACCATTTCCAAAAATATATATCGTTTTATGTCGTCTAATTACCTGCTTCCTGTTGTTATGTCTAGGTGCTAAATCCGTGAACGTGAGTTGCATCCCGACGGCCAGTTTCGGTCGCATCACGGCGAATAACTGCGCCGCGCGTCTGTTCAACACGCGCTCCTCGAACTGCTCGTCTGTCTCGCCCGCTTCACGCTCTCCATCTTCCGCCTACAATGCAACACATATATAATACGGGATCACACCAATTTATGTCTTTCAACTAAGTCATATAAGTAACATAAAAAAACATTCTCAGTTATATGTACTGCAAAATGTTAGTATTGACTTAAAAAAAAAACCAGTCAAGTATGTGTCGGACTCGCGCATGAAGAGTTCCGTACAATTATCTACAAATAAAAACGCTATAAATCACGTTTGTTGTATAGGAGCCCCTTTTAAACATTAATTTTATTCTGTTGTTAGTATTTGTGAAAATTTTAAAATTCTTGCCATCGCGCTTCATCAGTAGTCTGGTGATAAACAAACAAACAGCCAGTTTTAGTTAATGGAGCCCCAATTTTACTCTTTGGGTACATACTTTAGCATGATACATCTCACTCTTAATAATAAGATACTGTCGCCTAATAAGGCCCACTGTTTTATAGAATATATTTTAATAACAGTCCCATACTGACAGATCTTTAAGGACTGTATAATGAAATTTGAAACTACTTATATCTATATTATGAAAAAACAAATATTTTATGTTCGTTGTCACGTGACCGCAAACAGCGCGTGAGGCTACGCCCTTCTTACTCATCAGAACTTAGAGAATTCAACCTTACGCATAAATAGAACGAATTTAATTCAGAGTGCCGTGACGTAATGGCGACGCCATGAAAGAAGTGGCGTTTCCGCGGGAAATTTTGAAAATTAAATTTATTTTTATATTTTAACCGATTATTTAAATGCTATTTTTATATGTATTTCATGTAAATCTACAAAATATAAATATTTAAAAAAAAAGTTGTCTACACAATGTCTATATTGTACAAGAACTTACATTTTCCGGCGTCGGTGGGAGATCGTAGTCGTGTTGTGGACTGTGATGTTGTTCGTGTAAATGTTGATCGTCGTAACCTAAATTTGTCATTCCCATACCAGTCTGCAAAAAAACGTAACGTTTAAAAAATGACCAAAAATTATTATCTTTAGCTATTCCGTACTCCGTAAGGTACGTTAATCCGTTGCTCAAGGGGCTACATTTGCAATTATTAACGCCCTCCGCGTGGAGGGTCATGACAAAACCTCCATAACCATCCATCATGAAGGCCTGAGCCCTAGCAGTGGAGACGTAAAAGGGCTGATGATGATGATGATGATAGCATTCCTATTTCCTCTCCACACTTTCAAATTAGATTCGTGTTTACATTTTCAATTTAATGACAATAATAACCTTTTTGATAATGTAAAGGTTTTTTATAAATTTCCTAAAAACAATATCAAAGGTAACATAGTAACCATAGTATATTTTGAAGTCCTGACTCCTTTGATTTTGGTGATGACATTTAAAAAATTAATTGTAAGTTACCTGGTAATCGGCCATGTCTCGCGGTAGCATAGGTTCCGGTATATGTTGCAACAGTGCAGGTTCAGTGCCTAGCTGAGGTAACATCGGCAACTGCTCCATACTATGTTGTAGCATGCCTCCGTGTTGTAATCCTGTTATAATTGACTTAGTTTAAAAAACAGTATTGATAGGTGTTATAATTTTTTACCGAATAATCTAAAAATATAAAACTATCATGGCACCATAATTTCGCAAATGGAGATTATATATCGATAAAATAAATCTTAAAATTCCACTACTTTATTATTACAGTAGGCACTTTATAATCGGTCCAATAGTTTCGGAGCCCATCCAATTCAAACAAACAAGTAATTCAAACTTTCCTCTTTACAATATAAGTATAGATTATTAGAAAAAAACTATGTCAAGCAATTAAACGAAATCTCCCTTCCTAAGACTTACACTTTGTTGACACATTTTTATAAAGATATTTAATTTTTGTAGTGTTTCCTATTACATAAATAATATCAATATCACTAAAAAGGATAAAATAATTTCTTGCAAAAAAACATTTACTATTTTTTTTTATCAACTGATTGACGGACTAAATAGAATTTCTTTTTTTTTTACCCACGCTACATCCCTTAAAGAACAATATTTGAATGTCATAAAAAATCACCTGATGGTGTCATGCCGCCATGCTGTAACCCCGCCGGCGTCATACCGCCGTGATGTAATCCCGCCGGCGTCATACCGCCATGTTGTAGACCCGCAGGTGTCATACCGCCATGTTGTAGACCCGCGGGTGTCATACCGCCATGTTGTAGACCCACGGGTGTCATACCGCCATGGTCTAACCCGCCTGTTAATGCAAACAATAATGTGTCAAGGCCAAAATCTACGATTTTTCTATCCGGGGCAGAAGTTTCATATCCGGCCCTGAACAACTCTGTAAAATTATGTTTATTTTTTTATTAATCGATAATTTCGCTTTTTGCCATCCATCTGTTGTATGTTTATCAATTCCTTAACACCACAATGCATTAAAATTAAATAACCATACTGCACTAAATTTAAGGAAGACCCGTCGGTATTAAGAGTACCTATTTATTCAAAAAATTTATGTAATGAAAGAAACATTAAAACAATGTCGGTTCTTGCTTTCTTTTTAACTACACGACAGATTTTAATGTGGTTGTTATCAATTTACAGAGTGATTGAAGTGGTAATATATATATAAGACTGCGCGGGTGAAAGGAGAATGGGCAATGATGTATGAAGTTTCGTTTCAAATTTTTTTTTTTGTGCCATGATGAAACCTGCATCATTTTGTAGGGTTTTGGCCTTAGATTCAATTATAAAAAATATAATTACTCTAATTCGGCGGATTCATGAGAAATGAGCTGCTGAAGTTCATCAAGTATGTCGAATCAGTTTGTTAAACAAACACAATTCACACACGAAAAAAAGAGTCTCTGTCTCGAATATGTTCAGTTTCTATAGTTACGGAGGAACTCGAAATTCACTCGACGTAAAACTTAAAGAAAGAAGAAAATCACTAAAGCATTCAACAAACGAACTTAACAGAACGAAATGCAATACTGTAGTGACAGCTGTCAATTGTGTCAATGTATGCCTTTCATTTCTAAAAATGTTATAAATCGACTATTTTTAATCGACTTGATTTGATTAAATCATTAAAACTAATTATTTATTTATGTTCTTAATAATGAACAATATAATTATTTTTACTCAACAATATACTATTAACTGACATAGAGCATAGGTTATTAATTACGAATAAACATGTTGGGGGATTTAAAATGCGACAACTGTAAAAATGTCATAATACATGTGGTACTTGATGAGACCTTGCAAACAATGCATACCCTCTTCAGCCACATAAAACATTTTTTATATTAATATGTTTTGTTTTGGCAGCACTGAAACTCAAATAATCGATTTCGCTCATAAGGTTTCATCCAGTTGTTTCATCCATTGTTTCATCATTTTAAATGTTTTTTCGTCTTTCATGTTTCAGGGCTCTTGCCTATTCAAATACAATATCGATTTATATAATTGATGTAGATTTTGAATACTGGCAACATTAAAAAAAAACATTAAAATGGTGGATACTTCAGAGAAGTAGTAAAATCAGTTACCTTCCTTTATTTTAAACACATTATATTCCGTCGAAGTTAGGGCTGCATATTTTAAGGTATTTTTTACTTATTTTTTAAAAGAGGTTTGATATCGTCACAAAGCGAAACCACATTTGCCCATTCTCCTTTATGACGATTTAACCAGATTATTAAAATTTAAAATTAGACATAAATAATTACAGAACTGCAAAAAAAAAAAAAAAAAACAAAAAATATCACACAACATTTGCGTTTGGACAATTCGTAACCTAGTTGTTTTTTTGTAATACAACAACTGGCTGCAGTTGTACAAACATTTAAATTGACATTGTTTAAAGCGACATTACCGATACAAATTTGACATTCATTAGAGCTTAAAGACTTCAATAAACCTTAATGGACGTTTGTGCAACTGACCAAAAATGATTCTATTTAAATGTAAAATAAATAATATTAACCTGGAGTCATACCGCCGTGATGTAACCCGGCGGGCGTGAGGCCGCCATGATGGAGGCCGACCGGCGTCATACCGCCGTCTAGACCGAGTCCCGGCGTCATACCTAAACAAATACAAACCGATTTGTATTAGACCATACGCTTCTCATAAACGAGGGTTGTGTCCCACAAGTGAAATTAAAGGGTTTTTTCATATGTTCGGAAAATATGAACCATTTTAACTTATAAATATTTAACAATATTTTTATGACACTAATTTGAAAAATTTTACACTTTGAAAACTTAAAAAAAATAGAACATATTTTTTTTTAATTGCTAAAATATATATGGCATTAAATTAGTTACACAAAACGTTACAACTTTCATTATAACAGCTATAAACATAAACGTACAAATGATAAAGATATTACAAAGATTTCCCAAACGCCCATACGCTTTTCCCTACCGTAGCACCGTGTGACGTCACTTAGTGCCTTGAATTTGCGGGATCGTTTTCGGACGACCAGCAGTAAATCCACAAACATCTCCGAAACTATTAATCGCAGACATGCTGTTACTTCCATTACATTATTTCTCAGATATTTATGGACTATTTATTTATAAAATAAAAAATAAAATTGTCGACTAGCCTACTGCTGACACACACATTTGTAATTTTCATTTAACAAAATGAATATAAGATACTGATTACAAGAAATTTAATATCATTGAACTCCCACTGAGTCTACCGAAAATCTATAAAAAAATACATTAATTTCCTATTAACGTAGATGTAAGTACATAGTATTTCGATATCAATTATTTTGTTTAAAATCATTACACTATAAAATGGATAAGTTGCCAGCAAACAAGCAAACTTTTCGTGAAATTTTGTATATGGTTAAGAGTGAAGTGAATTTGAAATAAACTATTATGTAGAAGTTACAAAGGAACTATAGGACTATAAACAAGGAACTCGGTTAGCGACAAATTAAAAATCATATACTTTTTATTATAAAATATAAGAAACAGAGACAAAAACCGTTCTAATTCTTCTCAATATATAGTCGCCTACCATAGATTATGATTGTAAATGTAAGACTTAAATTTAAATAATATAAAACTGTACCTCCATGATGTAGTCCCGCAGGCGTCATACCACCAAGGTCTGGTTGTTCTCCATGAGGAAGTCCCGCTGGTGTCATACCACCATGCTGGAGTCCACCTTTACAAATAAAATATTCTGTTATGATGACATCAATTCTTAATTTTATTTTAACCTTATTAAGTTAGTACCAGAAACAATGCTTGGCATAATAATCGATTTACAAACAAATTATTGTATGGCCAATTCGACATGGGCTAAGAAGAAAAGATTTGAATGAAACAGAAAGAATTAAGAGCATGGATGTGGAATGGAATATAAGGAGAGGACGACCGAAGAAAATATGGATAGACTGTACAAAGGTGATATGCGTCAGAAAGGAGTGAAAGTCGAGAGGGAGAATACGTATTTCGCCGACCTATATTAACGTTTGCTTTGTGGCTCAACTAAACGTATAAAAACTCACAATAATGAGTTGAACAAAAAGTTATCTGTTTTAGTTATAAATCATATGGCTGGCCCATTAATGAGATCTGCCCTGGGATTCTGTAAAAATCCGAACCCGAATTCACAAAACGGAAGTGGAAGTTTGTATACGGATTTAAAACGTTCCCATAGTAACCATTGTTTACTGTTCAATTTGTCACTGTAATTATATCCGTATCATGATATGAAACCTTATCCAGATGAATTATTAAGTTGAATTCTAAATTTAAACACGACTGGCTGTAAATATAGGCGTAAATAAAGACAATAAGGGTAATGAATCTCAAAATAATATATTATAAACACTTAAGCTGTAAAATAAAGACAACTCAGTCACTGTCAATAACCAATACAAATTTTAAAACAAATGTAAATTTATAAAAAGGGTTTCCTTCAGCAACACCTGGAAACATGGGCTACTTTTTATCCCACTAAACAGTTCTTTAGAGACCACGCGAGCGAAGCCGCTGGCGGAAAGCTAGTTATTACATATGTTAATACTGTAAAGTTAAAAATATAATAACCTGGTGTAAGTGCGCCGTGTTGCAAGCCGCCTGGTGTGATGCCGCCCTGCAGTAAAGTTCCAGGTGTTAATGGACCTAGTCCACCCGGCGTTAGCGGCGGCCCTAACGAACTTAACATGCCTGTACACAAATATTACACATTAAAACATATGTAAGGTTAGAATTTAATTTATTTAATTCTGAAGGAAACATTGTATGAAATAGAAATAATGTTAAGTGTAAGAGAAAATAGATAATGTCAAAAGAATTGGTTGTGGGAAAGCGAGACGAAATACCTATATGTGTCAGAGTAAATTTATGCTAAAATTGAAATTTTAGTAATAGTCTAAATTCATATTATACGGTGAATAAGCAAACATACTTATAATATTATTCCTGTAGAACCTAAAGCTTAATGTTAACCTTTGCCAAGTCACTGTTTGATAATATGAATTTTGACTAAAACTAAGTGTAGTCTCTAGAGTGAATTTACTCCACGCTAAACATTGTTTATTAATAAGACTGTGGGTGTAAAAGGGTCTAGATGTATATTAAAGGTTATAGATGATTTTTTTTTTACAAACTATCAAGAAAAAAAGAGACTTAGCGGTCTGTCAATTTGAAGTGATGATCACTTATTTTTAAGTTTACAGTTCTTTGCAATATTACTCATTCTTCGTATGAGAATTCTATAAAACTGTATTAGAGAGTTCTCAAGACATTATTTACAAAATGTATCAAGTTTCACAATAGTTCGCAAAGAAAATGTTATATTCATATCATAGGTAAGATACACAGTTTACACACAAAATAGGTCAAAGAAATATTGTACCCTATTACTGTACAATAAGGTCGTACCTGGCGTACCCGGTGGTTCAACATCGTCCACTCTCGGCGTCTGCGGGTATCCTGCCGTGTCCGCCACTCGTTCAGATTCTATCCGTGCACCAACCATCAGTTAGTATGTTAGAGATGCAATTAATATGATTATCACATTACAGACTATATGTATATGGACATCGGTTAATTTTTAATGAACTATACCTAATCTTGAAGATATAACATTGCCCATAAATTCATACTTCAAACACGGCCAATGCTGATAAACACTATCAAAATCATTTAATATGATCGACATAAAGCTTTAGTTATATAATAACAAATTGCGTATTCAAATCGTTTTTAAATTCAAACTGTAAGAATAACACATCAAAGCATAATGTAAATCAATATCATATGTCATTCTTTTTTTAATACACAATATGCTGAAGCTCTTTTTGAATTTATTAGGATTAGACGTTTAAATTTCTTTTACAGTCTATACATGATTTAGTTAACTATATTTACAAATTATAGCAGAATATAAATTCTTTAACAGGCAAACATATTCACATAAACGATTGGTACCATCGTCTAAACATTTTTCAAAAATATCCCATAATGTGATAAACATATTTATACATGAAATTGTGAAAGATAGTTATCATAATTGAAAGTTTAGCCGAGTTTAGTTCGATAGCAGTGCAGTAGATTTTATGATTAATGAAACTTAATTACTATGTTATTAAATTCATATTTACAGCGTGATCATTGTCTATACACAAATTATTTAATTTTTATAAAATTAATATTTTATAAAATTTACAAATGGTGGAAAAATTATCTTGGATCATTAAAAGTATATATTTTATACTGAAAATGTTATAAATCTCGTAATATTCTTTATTGCCAAACGATTCAATTTCTTACGGTGATCGACTGTGAAAGCTTATAAATCGACCATTGTATCACTGGCCTATTTGTAGGCTACAGTGTAAACAGCTAATAGAAGAAATGAAAAATAAAGCTTAGTTTCACGTTCATAATGAACCTACTTCTAGTCGACAAAAATAATGCTTTCAAAACAGCCTCTGCTAAATTATAATAAAGTGACGTTTCCGAGTGCAGGAGAGAGATTGGTGAATGTTTAATGAGTTCCCATCCCAATAACAGTGCGGATAAAACATGTGACAGGCATAGCAAATGTACAATAAGTTACAACTAATACGCGAAAGGTGAATCTTCGTCTGCGCATTGCAGATTTACCAATATCAACAATAGCTGAACATGCTATGAAAATGTATAATTAGCACAGTGAATCAGGTGCATGGATATTGGTGGATCGCCCGATGACGTGATATTTGAATAACTGGCCTAACCTTATCAAGTTTGAAACATCAATACTTGTAAGGAAAATTGGAACTTTTTTAAATAGTGATTGAACCTATAAAATCTTTTTAATCGAAATATGTTTTAAGTAATTAATTGTCAATTTTTAAATTAATGTTGCTGTACTACATACAACTGTTATTGTAATAATTAAACTTGACTTTAATAAAATTTGTATTTTTCTGACTCATGTTCATCCTATTGATGAATAAATATTTTTCTTAAATTCTATTTTATACATTGACCTAAAAATCGATTTGCTCTATTTAAAAAGAAGTCAATAATATCGAGTTTTTGTTTATATATTTATCATTACCATGTCATTAAAAACTTCAAATCCCAAACATCACCGTACCCATATGTGGAAAAGACTATAGTAGCTTTATTTAAGATTTGAACTTATAAATCAAAACTGTAATAAACAAATATTAATATCAAACTCAATAGTATGTATAAGGGTATAAGGGAATTACCTACTTACTATAATAAACCTCATCACGTGAACATAAGCATTAAATTTTAAGAAAAAATAAAGTAACTGACCGTTCGTGCCAGCGCCACATTGGATTAGTTAATTTTCTAGCTGAGACTCAATACATAAATAAATAAAGCAATAAATATTATAAATATCAATTGATATATATCCATTGATATTTATCAGCTGTATCTTAGTATACGTATTACTATTGTTGGACTCACCAATAGAAGGCTCGTATTCCTGTGGGATTGGCGTAGGCGGCTCAAGTTCTGGCGGAGGGGGAGCCGGGGTCTCCGGCTGTTGAATAATCTGCGGGCGAGACTATATTTCGCTTTACAAAATAGCTCTTTGAGGGTTGAAATGGTAATCAATTTAAGAAAAAAAATGTATTACATGGCATATTCATTGATCAACGAAATTATAATTTTTGGCCATTTTCAAAGTAATGGAAAGTGATAATATCGTCTTAAGAAATCATTTTTTAATCGAACTTCTAAAACTTTTTGATTTCGTTTGAAGGTGGTGTAATCTTTGGAAATACTGATCTAATCATGGAAATTTTTTCACCTACGGGGTAATTACATCATCGCAGATGCTATACGCTATAATTTATGCGGGCAGTCACCTAAAAATAGCTATTATGAAAAAAAATAGGGAGAAAAAAAAGCAGGGGTTGCCGAATTTCTAGCTGGTTCTTCTCAGTAAAGCGTCTGCTGTCGTAGATTTACGAGCGGACGATGCCATAGCTCAACATAGCTTTCGACTTTCATAAGTGCTTGTAATAGACTATACTGAATAAATTATATTGGATTTAGACTCTTAATATTTGGTATAGCTTGCTCTAGAGAGGGGAGGGCCAAATGGGGGTACTTGCCCCCTTGACATTAGAGGCTACGGTGAAACGGACGCCATACGAAATTTCTGCCCCGGATAAAAAAAAATGTGGGCTGACATTTGGCATAAAAAGTTAGCACACATTTTACATTTATGTTCGAGTTGACTTTTTCTGTCCTGAATCATTCTAAATAAATAAATATTTACCTCCTCATGCCGTCGCTTGCGACCACCTCGACGTACTGGCTCAGGGTCTGGAGATCGAGCTTCGCCTTCTTCAGTCTCACTGCGTAGAGTCATGTTACGTTGGTATTTCTGTCAATCAATATTATCATATTAAACCATCTTCGCAAAAAAAACAAAAGATTGTCTATTATCTTTATACAGATACAAAACTCAGTATCTCTATGTTCCCACCCATACATTATGGATTTCAAAACTTTATTGTATACTTTCGAATGATTGGTTTGGGTGATTGTATATTTTTTGATTTCTACGAGAATTTAACAGTTCAATAGAGTGCATATATGGATGACGATATTTTTTTGTACATTTTCCGTATTGTATATTGTTGAAAAATGTTAGATAGGTATTTTTTACTTTTTGCTTAATCATTAAATTACATTATATATTACATTATAAATAGAGTTAAAATGTCACAAGTCATTTTCTAGAGCACTATGACGTAGCGAGCCCCCACTCCTCAACTTTAATGCCTGTGATCTAAACTATTTACTGTTAAATTGAAATAAAAAAATGTATCTAATATTTTTCTATTATCTGACTGAAAGACTAATTAGAATGACTTTTTTTACCCAAGCGTCATACCCGTACATTATTGCTTTTAATAACGGCGTAAACTTTATTGTGGTAGCGTTACATAATAATAATACAACCACGAAGGGTGCGAAGAAACCTCAAATAGTTATCTCCTTATTAAAATCATACAGCATACATCTTTTTAAACAAGATAAACATATTTGATTGGTTTTATGTATAAACTCCAATCTCCCCTAGTCGTAGATCCCCTAGACCGCGTTGGCCTTTTATTTATTATTTTTATTAAAATAAAAAAGTAAGTATAGTACTTACGCATGAAATAACATCTTTTTTTTGCATTTGTCATCATCAATGTGTAATTTGTGCTTTGTTCAAATACACAGGAAGGCATTTTTTATACGACTTCACAGAAAATCACCAAAGAAAATTACATTAGCCACAACGCTTGCTGAAACGTGACTAACGTGAAACTCAGGCAATTGCCTTTGCTTTCTTGTTGGTAATGTTGTATGCAGATAATCCATCTAAACTTTTTAATACAACGTTGAGCTTTCCAAACAATTATTTTATTACCTTAAATAGTACTCTGGACGGTATAGGTCTTGCTGGTAAAGCGAACAGTTTCTCGACACCACCGGTCTCCTTCCAGTGCATCAGACGGCGAGTGGGCGGCGCCAGATCTAGAGTCGTCACTATATCGGACGTGTTCGACAGCTGATTCTTCATCTCCTCACCGGATATGTTCTTCACTTCATCCACGATCAGTTTGCGTTTGCGTTTCGTTTTTGTTATACCTGATGATGTTAGAAAGCCAGTTAAGAGAGATCGTTTTTTAAGTTATCTATTACTCATATACTTTATGGAGTTCCGGCCCGTCCGTACAGGCTAGAGATGCGCCGAATATTCGTTTGGCATTCGGTATTCAGCACATTTCGGCTTATAATCATTGCCACAACACGTTGAGGTCGAATAGCATGACAGCCACGACACCGATTTCGCTATGTGTCTATGGCAATCGCAGAGTAATCTTTGAGCGTAACATATATATTCGTAGGCTGACAACGATAATGATTTTCAGTAAGGGGCCATCCATAAATTACGTCACACAAAATTCACGATTTTTAACCCCCTTCATGCCTGTTTGTCTATACAAATTCTACAAAATGTTGTTCTAATGTCACAGTTCGTCCCCCCCCCCTCTTAACGTGTGACGTAGTTTATGGATGGCCCCTGATGAGCGTTTAAAGTTCAAGAAATTGTAATCCGCCCCTCTAAACGACGTATCGTCACTACGCCACCTAGCATTTTCAATGCAAACTACGTTCACATGGATCTTTGCATTATAAAGTTTAAAAAAATTAGTCGTTTTTTTGGTTAGTGACATTTTCAACATGCGTATGTATACCCTTGAGTACGGTCGCGTCGACTGGCGCTAGTGCGAATGACTCCTCATCGTTCTGCAGCAGTGTGGTGTTATCGACGGGGGCGAGAGTGGGCGCGGGTGACGTCACCCCAACCTCCCCACCGCCCAGCGGCGCAGGGGTCGACGACCGCTCCGGCACACTAAGAGGCTCCTCCACCTCCTGTACACAACACAAAACGGTTATATAAAAAAAACAGCGACCCAAAACATCATCATCATCACCAGCCCTTTTTACCTCCCCACTGCAAGGGCTCAGGCCATCCTTATGGATGGTTAAGGAGGATGGGCTATAACCTTCCACACTGGCCGAATGCGGATTGGAGGGTATTAACGACTGCAAATGTAGTCGGGACCAACGGCTTAACGTGCCTTCCGAAGCACGGAGTAGCTCGATATATTTTTTTGGGCACCCATCCCGTGACAGACCCTTGCGAAAGTTGCTTAACGACAACGATCGCGGGCCGCGGCGTTTATCCACTACGCCACCGAGCTCTTTGACCCAAAACAATGAGGAAGTATTTAAAAAAAAAAATTATTCCCGAAATAAAACTAGATGTCGCTACGGTACGTTCTTGATTTCTCCATGACAACCCTTCCGGTTTATTTTCATGTTTACAAGTAATTTAGTTTTCAAAACTCAATGAACAACTCGTATTCTATTAATACTTTTTCGTACTTGTATTGATACCTAAGTTTCGAATTATTCAAATTTCAGTTTTTTTTATGTAATAGTTAAAAGGAATGGAAATGTCTGTCTTTTTTGTCCATTCGTTTCCTGCAAAAATCTACTTTTGCTAGAGTCGCGATTTAGTGGAGGTGCTTTTTTAGTGCTTCCGTTTTTTTTAATACTTCCTCATTACTCTTAAAAAGTATAAAAATATTTTTAAAATAAAAATGGGCTTAACTAAACAAAATTGCCATTGACCGTTCTGTGCAACATATGTAATTTGCTGAGAGGTTTTTTAAAACTTTGAAGTTGATTTTTATGTCATTATTTTTAAAATTTCTAATACTAAATATCTCAAAATGATCTTTTAATAGTGGTTATCGATGATAGAAACTTATGGGTCATAATCAGAACGCATAAAAAAAGTGTGCTCTTGATGGATTATTTTTTAAACAACAGTTACATCATAACTTTGTTCTAGTTATAAAATACAACATCTCTATTAACTAAGAAAGTAGAAATCCCATTCAAATAATTATTTAATATGTTAGTAAAATATCATAAATCAATCTTATCGTACCTTTCCGTGGACCGTGTCAAGTGGATGTTCGTGTGTTTAGGTGTAATTTAAAATTAATGAATAGTACAACAATGTTTTTCAATATTGTCTAGATAATTGTAGATATTCTCCTCTTTATTATCCTAAGAATCTCAATAAATAAAAATATACATATCGCAAGTTATTAATAATAAACAGATTGTGACAAATCTTGCAACTCCTTCCGTGGACTACAAAAAACGTACCGTTAAAAAATACCAAAAAAATCTACTACGCGAATTTATTAATTTCCACTAGCAACATTTGTAGCTGTCATCTGAACCGACAGTTTGACAACAGGTTGAATAAGTTGCAACGAAAATCTGTGTTTGTTCTATAAATAAAGTATTTAGTTTTGATTTTTGTAAAAGATCGTTGCTACTTTTCTGTTACAACAATATTTTGGTAAGTACGATACTTATAAATCATTGTGTCATAAGGCCTTATGCCATTTGAGGAACGATTGTAAAAATTACCTTGCTCGTCTTCCTAATCTCAAAAATCTGCATGTCGCAATTTATTGTTTTGATAGACGACCCTTCCGTGGACAACTATCATGTGGACATGATGTCCACGGAAAAGACAACGTCCACGGAAGTGACACTTGAGGATTTAAATGTTTTGATTAGTACTGCATATTTTTATTTCATTCACGCATTTGGTGATTTAATGTAATACGTACACTTTAATTACAACAGGTAATGCCAAGAGCAAGTAGGTCAACATCCCAACTTAGCGACGATGAAAAAAAGAAAAGGCGTCGTGAACAAAAGAAGTTAAGCATGCGGAGGGCACGTGCAAAAATGGATGAAGCTGAAATGGACGAGATCTCTTGAAAATGAGAAAAAGAACCGCTGATTTAATTGAACAGAATACTCCTCCTTCAAGTCCTGTACCAAGTACTACTTCGTCATTTTCACGAGTAAATGCTGGCAAAGCTACAGCAGATAGAAATAAAAGGGCAATGAAAAGAGAGAACTTAAATTTAAAGGCTAAGGTTTTACAGATGAATCAAAAGTTAAAAAAATACAGAATGCGTATAAAAAGACTGAAAGCGAAACAAAGAAAACAAGTGGCAAATGGAACAAATTCGGTAAGAAGTGAAACTAGAGCTCAAAAACAAGATATCAAACAAGCTGTGCATGAATTTATATTGCAAGATGAATATAGTCGCCTGACTTCGGGTAAAAACGAAACGATAACCCGCAAGAAAATAAAAAAACAAATACGTTTACTAAACGACACACTACTTAACTTGCACACAGTGTTCAAAAATAAAACTGGGCTTCATATTTCTTACCAAACTTTTAGAAGATATCGCCCTTTTTGGGTGCTTTTTCCGAAAGCATCATCAAGAAATACTTGTTTATGTATTCTGCATGAAAATAGTGATCACATAGTTCGAGCATTACAGAAAGCAAAAGTAATATCTTTTGGATCTGCCTCTGATTTAGCAAAATCAATTTGTTGTCAGAACTCATTGAATTTAAAATGTTTAGAACGAACATGTACGACCTGTCAAAATGAAGAAATTAAATTAAATACCTTAATTAAAGATGGCTACATTACTTATGAGAGATGGGTTACTAAAAATAATAAAATAATTGTCAAGGGAATGGAAAAGGTATGCAAAAGGTCCGTTAAAGAAAACGTGAAAACTACTGTTACATCTCTTGTACACTTGTTACATATAAACTTACCGGTATACATGAAACATGTGGGTAATTTTGTTCATCAAGTCAGGTCAATCCATGCTCTTAAAGAAAAACTGTCTCCTTCAGAAGGTTTGTTGCATATAGATTTTTCCGAAAACTATAACTGCAAGTACAGTGCTGAAATTCAATCTGCCCACTTTGGCGGCTCTAAGATTCAGTTATCACTTCATACGTGCGTATACTATAGTAACAATTCTCAGCCACCTGATAGACATTTGAAGACGACATCATTATGTACAGTATCGGAAAATTTGAGACATGACCCTATATTAATATGTGCGCACCTAAAACCTGTTATGCAGAGAATAAAGCAGATTAGCCCGGATATTATAAAATTGCATGTACTTAGTGATGGCCCTTCAACACAGTATCGAAACAAGTCGATGTTTTATTTGATTGCAAATTATGTAAGTAAAGAATTAGACGTAGAGGCTGTGATTTGGCATTTTAGTGAAAAAGGTCAAGGGAAAGGTGCTCCCGATGGAGTGGGTGGATGCGTGAAAAGATTGTGTGATAACTCTGTTGCAATAGGTAAGGATGTTTCTAATTACGATGGTCTTATGACGTGCTTGCAGGCAAATTGCAAAGGAATAGAAATTTTTGGAATAGATGATTCTGATGTGCCCAAAATCCAGAAAATCTTAGAAAAGAGCACAACGAAGCCTTTTAAAGGCACATTCAAAATACACCAGCTTACATGGAGTCGAAGGGACCCATTTATAATACACGCAAGACGGCTGAGCTGCTTAGATTGCCCGGAAGATAAAAATTGCTCACATTTTGAAATTGGACAAATACACATTCAATATGACACATCCAATATATATACACCTGAGTTACCGAGATCACCGGCGGCTGCGTCTGCTAGAAGTAGTGCATCTCCAATCAATATAGCCACTCCCGATGGTTCAACTGATACAATCTCAACCAATCGATCGTTCTCGCCAGAAAGTCCACCAGCTACACCTGATAATTTTATGTTACAAAATCCTCCTGTTTGCCCAAAAAAGAAAAATAGGAGCGTCTCCGACAATTCTGACAGCTCTGATTATATTTTTGACCCTCCGCTAGCTAAGAAACCACGACGTTTCATTTTACCCGAGACAGACAGCGAAATTGAATCTACCTTCTAAGTGTTATATTGTTAATTCCCAAAGTGATTAGTGATTCGTTTGTTATTAATAACACATTATATATAAAAAAAAGTTGATTAGCGAATTCTTAAAGATAGCTTCGTGATTACTTATAAAAGTTTAAAATAAATTATTTGATCTCTTTCTTTTAAAATGAGTCTAGTTTTAGTAATATGGTCCACAGAAATTCTCTTCTGTGGACATATTTTTTTATTTTCGTAAGTGACAAAATATCGTTCCTCTTATTGTTTCGTTTTTACTATCAGAATTAAGTGCACTATGACCTTGTTTTTGATTAAAATTTAAAAGGAATATGTCATTTCTCTTGAAGCAAGATACAATTAATGTCTTTTCTGTGGATTATATCATCTTTTCTGTGGATACATAAATATGAAAATTTGGCCTAATTGTTGATATACTTTAATTTGATCTCGATTTATATTTTTAGATAGTTTCACTTGATATAATAATAATAAATACCAATTTTGAAAAAGATTCAATTCAATTTTTATTTTTGTCCTTTTAAAAGTGCCATTTGATTATGACCCTTATACGAGGGTAAACCAAATATTTATTAATAAAAAAACGAATGAACACAAACAAAAAGCCCAAGTTACCTGCGGAAAGTTGCCGAAATCACAATCCTTATCAAAGATTTTCGACCTCTATAAATCGGTTTATAGTTCTATCATCAACTGTTTGATTATATCAAACTTTATGTACTCGTATATTGATGTAAACAAATAGGGACAATTATTAATTTGTCGGTGCCTCAGGTATTGAAGAATATTAAACATGTATTTTTTTTACCGAATATGCAACATGAATATGCCGCATGACGTCACGGCTTTGTATATTTTGTAAGTAGTTATGACGTAGAAGCCTCAACTTCAATGCAAAATTGAAACACGGACTAAAAAACTATTTAGTCCGTCAGTAGTTTTTTTTTACTCAGTCATGTATGGTTCTTATGGCAAGTTCTTACCATCGGAGTAGCGGATGGCGGTCTTGGTGCGGGCGGGGGCATAAGCGCAGCGGCATCGGCCATAGTTTCAGCCGTCGGCTCATGCGGTGGAGACCCACCCCAACTGGTCATAAACAAACAAATAAGAATATAAGGAGTGAATAGTGTATTTAAATCAAATAAGATATTTAGCTTGCTTCTAAAGTGGTGGGATCGGATTGGGAGCTCTTGCAATTGTTGTCTCGCCCACATAAAGTTTTTGATTTACAAGCTTATAACATAATTTATAGTTGGTATATTTCTATCGATTAGTTGGGATTCAAAATTTTCGTATTTTGTAATTTGTTTTTGTATAGAGAAAAAAAAGGGGAAAATCAGCTTGTGGCGCAGACGAAGAAAATATAAATGTGCCACTCATGTATACTCGTTAGCCAATTTTCCCATGTTTATACTACAAAATTGATCCTTAATAACGCGGCACTAAGATGAAAAAGGAGTTCAAAAAGTGAATTTATTTACGAAACTGCATTTGTGGTTGGTTGATACTAATAACTTGTTTGTTACTAACTAATCAACAGCCTGGTTTCGGTTGCACTGTTACATTTAAAAATTAAGACTAGACTGTACTCACGGATCCTCTTTATTGGCATAGTTTTTTCTTTTATATATACATATATACTTTTTATTGCGATCTGTCATAATCGGACATTTAGCAAAAGTTTAATGTCGTTTTAATGTATTATTCTTTATGTGGTATCAAGTCCAGTGACTTGGCCACTTCATAAGTGTTCACAAATTTTATGATAGTTATTCATGTGCACAAGTCCAGTGGGTACTTCCGTTTCAATCTGGAAAACACAATACTTGTCCTTGAGAGCTCTTTTGCAAGTTCATTTTTTGTGATTTTGTAAGAGGTTTCTATATTTGGACATTCTATCTCTAATTTCCTGCTTTACAGTTGAGATGTTTAAGTCTTTGTGTAGTTGTTCATTAGTTATGTAACAAGGTGCATCCACTATAGTTCGCAGTACTTTCGATTGAAATCTCTGTAATATTTCCAGATTTGAGTTCGTAATTGGGGGGTTTACAGTTAAAATCATGACGTTATCAAACCATTGCCAAATGATAACTCATTATAATTTGCTTAACCGGTATAATAACATGTGTGTTATTGTTAAAGTAATTTGATGCAACTAACTCTAGTAGTATGGGTAGTATGGGAGAAACTTAAAGTTAAATAAATTCAGCATCTCTTTCACTATTTGCATTCGAATTATTCGGTTTCGTTGCCGAATATATTAGATTCGAGTATTTCTAAATTCTTCACAACACGACACGGTATTAATTAAGCTAATAAAATAAATCAATTAAACTTCAAATCGACATTAATTTTTAAACCTATATAAATTTAATTATTTATGTTTAAACGCGGCAAAATAATGAAAAAGTAAACCGAATAATTCAGTCGAATATCCGGTTCGGTAAAGGTTAAACCGAAACCGAATAGTTTTATTAGGCGCATCTCTAGATTACCTATGTTGTGGCGAGTGTCCCGCGTCGTAATGATCACCCATGTCATCATCAGAGTCGGGCGCGTCAGCCGCCGCGGTCGGAACGCCCGTCTCTCCGGCACCCACGCCCGCCGCGTCAATCTCCGCCTGTTACAGTTACATTAGAAGTTTGTTTCGTCTATTGGGACAGGCGAAGGAACTTAGCCGTACTGCCAAATCTTAAGTAGATTATTTAAAGCCGAACGTTGTCTTGTCATCTTTTTTTATTCCTGTGTTGATATTTTTGAAAGGCTACCATCTAAATCTATATATTATTTTAATTTAAGATACCAAATCTTGATTTAAATGTCTCGTTCAGGATTATTATTTACATATTGGGGATGGTCAAATCACATTTCACCAAGAGTGAGGCTAACGTAGTTGCAAGTTAAGATTTCCTGAAGGGAAGGCAGGATAATCTTGTATTTACATGAGTAAATGTATCAAAACATGATATGTTTCAGTTACATTATTTGTTCATTATAGTGATGCAACTCGAGCTCTGTTTTTCACTTACATTACTAGCAGAGTAGTGGATAACAAGCAGAGTCAAACCGAACAAATAAATCATCATTGCTAATTGATACCTGATGCTGGCTAGATCATAGAAGAGCCAATAACGAAGAAATTGAATTGAATTTGTCAAATTCTTACTTGAGTGAAAAAGAAATTAGTCTTATTTCTATGCGCTCTATATTTTTAGATATATTTAATATATCTAAAATAAAATATATAGTAAAAAATTGTCTACACCCCTAGTAAGCACAAACTTTCGCACCAACTGCAAACTTGACGTCTACACGTTCCATTCCGTTACGTTGAGCAAGCGTAATTTACTATCGTGTGGACTGGCTATAAAGAATTTTTCTTAAGAAATATAAAAAATACAAAAAAAGAGGTTACATTACCTGTAGTGACTGAGGCTGCTGTGACGTGCCGGGCATTCCAGGAGTTGCGCCGGCGCCGCTACTGCCCGCCGTCACGTCTCCGAACAGATCGCCCTCGAATAAACCACCCGCATCTGATACAATGAAACATATGTCTTTAATCATCTATCGTTTCGATAAGAGAACCTAGTGCCACAAGCCTCTCGCTACCTTTATATTTTTGAAATTTAATAATTGTAACAAGGGTAATCTTGAGTAATTTAAAAAAGGCATTTATATTTTTTTACCGTAGTTACCGACCAATCATAATGGATCAACAAGTATATATATATATATGTCTCTTTTATGAATTAAAAAAATATTGTTTTTAAAATTATTAATTTGATAAGATAATAAATTTCATTAATCTTTATTGTTATATCTGCAATCACTGTTATTAGTGTTAGAGTATCTATATTTTAATACGTGAAGCAAAAACTTTGGACCACTTTTTACGAAAATTGCGAGGGCAAAGGAGTATGAAATTTGGCACACTATTAGTTTATATGTAGGAGAAATACAAACGGCTAATATTTTTTAATAAGATGCTTATAAAGTACATTTAATTATATAAATAAAACATTACACATACTACTATGCATTTGACACACACAAACAAGAATTTGCTACACGCATACATGTACTCTGTAGTCAAATTGTTTCTTTTGACATAGAGTTTGTTTGTTTCTTCTACATAGAATATTGGCTTCGCATGGTTTGTGCATTTAGCCAGTGTCAAGTTTTATATGTTTACCATAGACATCTATTTATATGTTTGTGATGTTTACTGTGGTCTTACTGAATGTCGAAAGATTTTCGATTTCAGTAATAACTTCTAATAGAAATTTATTATGGTCGAATTTTGACCACAGGGTGACCACTAGTCTAGAATAATTGTACGAATTAAATATAGATACTGCCACTTAACTTTGAAAGACTATGTAAATTACATTTTATACAATATTACTTTATTAATTACAACAGCATGTTTGAAGCATATTCAAAATCAGATAATACATTTAATACAACCTTTATGACTTACATAAAGATCGGGGAAAGTGTATGCCAAAGGGAAAACAGTGTCAAACAATGAAACATGAGGATTTAATAATATTAACATTATAAAAATATATTGAATTTAATGAAAATGGGAGTGGAGGTTTGTATAGATAATTAAAAAAAAAATGAAAATAATTAAAAGGGGAATTAAAGTTACCATAGTAACCATTGTTGACTATTCAATTTGTCATTTTTATTATATCCATGTCATGATATGAATCGATATCCAAATTAACCACGCGGGCGAACCCACTGGCGGAAAGCTAGTTTTTATTATTTGTCTTATGACACTCAGCTAGTAGCACATACGCTCATTAAAATTTTCATTAGTTTCTGACATTCATTAGAGCTTAAAGACGTTGTTAAAACTTAATGGACGTTTGTGAAACTGACCATCAAACCTAATAAGTGAACTCACGTCCAAAATCAGCGACGTCTCCTATAGTACCGCCGAAGCCATCGTCCATTGGGCCGTGGGGCGCGGCCTCCATACGTCGCTCGTGCGCAGGAGTCGCCAAACTGGGCACACCCGCCGCGCTAGTGCTCGCTACACCCGCGTCTTTACCACCCAACTCTAAAGACGACCCATCCGCGAACAGGAGGTTACTCTGTTGAGTTAATTACGTTCATAATCTTAGTACACTCCTATAGATGATGTATAGACAGTAAAATTATTGTCTCAAGCAAGCAAGCATGTTGAGCCGTTGGTCTTGGCTGCATTTGTAATCATTAACACCCTTCAATCCATATTGAATAAGCATGGATGGTTAATACCCATACATAAGGTGCCTGAGCCCTTGCAGAGGGAACGTAAAAAGGCAGATGATGAAGACAAAGGATAGATGAACTCAACTTAAAAGAATGTTGATTTCAATTTAACTTTTCTTTTATCTTAATAACATTAATAAGATCCAAGAAAGTTAAAGATTAGTACCAAATAGGTTCCAAAACAACTGGAACTATTTTAAGAATTATTTAAGTTATGGGAGGTGACACCATATGCAGGTTTAATTTTCACATGTTAAATGTCTATTATGAATATACTTTATCAAGTATTGCCATAGTTAAATCTATGTTATATATAGAAACAAAATCATGCAATTAAAATAAAAAAAGTTTGTCTCAAAAATATCAAAATAAACAGAATTTAATTGCAAAATTATTTACCTGCTCCAATCCTCCTTCACTTCCGATAGCTTCTCTCATGATATCAGGGTTATCTGTATCAAAGCCCATGTCACCAAACCCATCATCATGTGTCACTAAGTTCAATGAACCATAATCTTCCCGCATTGTAATTTCCTCAGCACGGGATTGGTTGAGGGAAAACTGTGCCTCTATATCCACCTCACTGAAATATTCAAAGTAACTTAGTAGAAATTGATAGAGCATTTAGTGTCAACATAATGAGACTTACTAAACCCCTTTTCACTAACCTAGAACAAGGCATAACTTAACTAGGAAATGCCTAATCTTATGAGTTACCTAAAAATATTACTTTAATTCCAAATAAACAGTTGTTCTTTTATCCTTTCACATCTTTCTAACCAGTTCACTAACTTTAATGGTTGCTTAAGAAATAGCTAAACATCATAGGAATAAAAAATATTTTTGTATGAAAACTAATTATTAATTTGTGTCTCTGAATAGGGCAGTAAATAAGTATGTATAAGTAAAGTATGATAGTAAAATAATTATTAATGTGACTATTCCATATAAGTGTGATTTATGCTTCATTTTTAAACTTACTTTAATTCAGGCATAGCAGTATCGAAGTCATGAAAAACTTCAGGCAATGTAATTGCATTCATAGCAGCTTCCCTATGTTCCTCAGGTAAGTCCACCATGCCTGGCCGGAAGGCCATCTGTAAAGAATCAATATGTAATAGTGCAAGAGTATCATTCTAATAAGTATCAGGGGGGAGGGAGATTATTGGCTCATTTTAATGGCATGGGGGCCAAGGACAAGGTTTTGCAAAATTTTGTAGGTTCTAATTAAAACATATCTATAATAATTATAATTCATTATAATTATAATTCATTTATTGCATGTCACATAGTAAGAAATCTCCAATCTAGTAGTTATTTTTCACTTATAAGCGTACTAAGTACAGGCCCAAATCTAAGAGGGGGCAAGTGGGGACACTGGTGCTTCAAAATCATCATTATATAATACCTATTTACAGTAAAAAAATGAGTTTTACAAATCTCTTCATACACATCATAGGCTACAATGGTATGGGATCATAATTTGGCTTAAAATATAATTGATCCAGACTAAGGAGTGAGAGAAAAATTAGAAAATTACCATAATTCTAGCTGAATAATAAAAATACCATTCCAGAAGATCTACAATATTCTGTCAAGTGTGGAAAATTGCATAGTATCAAAGAAACATAATATTATCTTCTATAACATAATAAGTATAATTTAGTTTTTAAGCATTTTAAATAAATATCAATATAATTAATTAAGTTAAAAGTATATTTCTATCGGCTTCTAATGTGGATTGTCTAAAAATTTACGAAATTATCCCTACTAGTAAGAAAAGTAACAACTACTTAAGAAATTTGGTAATATACTCAATAGTTAGTGGTTTTGGGTATGAATCTCATGTCAGACACCTAGAACTGGAGAATTTCATAAGTATTTAGTGTAAGATAAATAATAATATAGTATTATAATAATTACTGCTATTACCACATTTATTTAAAGAATTGAAATAATTTTTTTTAAAGATTAATACAGATTTTTAGCCAAATTTTTGTAATAGAATTGGTACCATTGTTAATTACACAAGTTTTGGAACAAAAAAAAAACCTTAAACTTATAAACAACAAATATAGAAATATATTAATACCACATAATCTTTGTTCAGGAAATAATTATTTAGGTCAAGTTGAAATGTGTCATACCTTGATCTTAACAAATGCTTCATTGCAGTCTTGTAACAGGTATTTTGCCTTCCTTGAATATATCCTTACTACTCCAAGCAACAGATGACCTGACGTTCGAAGGGCCATCTTTACTTTGGGCTTCAATATTCCATCTACTGACTTCTCAATATTAGTTTCAAATACGTGAGCTTTAGTTAGCTTCTTATCCCAATGAGCTGCCAGCCAAATCTTGGCCAAAGGGCCTTTCTTGGCCAGCACAAAATGTGCATAAAACATTTTGATGGGTTGATAAACACCACACCAACGGTTACATCAAAGACCACCTGAAAACGATTATCGGGTAAGTAAATTTTAATATTATATCTAACATTACTAAGTATTTGAAATGACTAAACAAGATTACACAAAATAATGGTATTTAAGTGTTTATTTATGCCATTTGGAATAACGACTTCCAAGCAATTTGGCGCCCAATTTGTTCATCATGTTTCACAGTACAACATTAACGTTATTTCATTTATTTTTAATATTCTTTAAGTGTGATCATTTGCACAATAACAAGTTTTCATTAACTCGAAAAAATTACCTAATTATGCCAGAAAAAAGCACAAATTTCACCCTTGCCACTCAACGTAAACATGACAACAAATACGCTTTCAAGATGGCGGACGAACGACGTCTGGATAAGTAGAGATGGGTAAGACGATCTAATTGAATAATCGATTTATAGATTAGTATATGTCATTTAAGCGTGTAAGTGCCAGACATATTTACAAAGAAACGTCCAATTTTGACCTTCAAATTACTTACTACTTTTTGAAATATCGTCGTTATATTATCTTATCAAAAGTCTATATTTTCTTACTTGAGTTAACTAGTAAATAAATATGGCGTCTTTATGAAATTTCACATTTGATAAAGTTAGAACCAATTAATTTTCCAGTATACTTTTGTAATCTTTGCAGTTAATTATATAATGAATGATCTACTAAATGATTGCCTATGCATTAACATTTTAAATTTAATTTGGATCTAAATGTTTTTTTATTGTAAGAAATATACTTATTTGTCAATAAAACGGCAAACGGCGATGGCGACCTACCAGCCAATAAGACTATTTTAAATGAAATTTTATTGAAACATAATGCACGAAAGAATATTAAAAATAAAAAAGTGAGAATGTAACAAAGAGACAAACTGAATATATGCAATATTTTGATATTGATTTTAAGTTAATTATAATCTAATAATGATTGCACCTAATAATATTAAATACATTTTTTTTTTTTGCTTTGATTTAACAAAGCATAGCACATAGCTAGGTAATATGCATTAAAGTTGAAAAATGGGGGCTCGCTACGTTACAGCTTTTGTAGAAAATATACAAAAGCGTGGCATTTAAATACAATGTATTACTGTAATTTATTGATTACCTAAAAACACAAACAAATAATTTTTAATATTATTAGAATTATAAAATTCTTCATCAGAGTATGTATATTAAATATTATGTTTATATATATTAATATGTATGAACTTGCTTGTAGTTTATTTTTAAGCTTTGTTAATTGTAAGATCACTTTGTGCGGCCGTCATGTTTTCTGCTTTCCCAAAGGTTGACTAGTAGAGAATGCTATTAGCATTAAATCCACCTATTGTACCATTTATTCACTGGACTATAAAGATTGATGATTAAATAAAAATCAAATTAATAGTTATCGATAACAGCAATAGTTAATCGCAAAAAAAATACTAATACAGTGAAATCCGGTTAATTGGGATCTCAAGAGACCAAGAATATTTGCCATTTAAAGAGGTTTTCATTTATCCCGTTTTGAAAGAAGACAGGTTTGAAATTTATTTGTTTCATTTACAGAGGTCCCATTTACAGAGCTTATAGAGGTCAAACCGTGACGTTATTTAATTTGTAAATGTTAATAAAAAAGTAATATTTTTTGTGTTAAGAACTAAGTGTAGGTAGGTATAAATTTGTTATAATAAAATAGTAAAAATAGTTATTGATACTGTTTCTCGATATACTAAAGTATAAATAAGCTTTATTTTTTCAGATGCTGATAATGTGTTTATTTACATTTGGACATTTTGTAAACATTTAAACCCTTGTTGATAAATCGAAATTTGAGATAGTAATGGCAAAGAAAGCATGTGTGAAAGAAAATCAATGTTTGTAAACAATTGTTTTGAAACCTGTCTCAACTTGATAAAGTGTCTTACTTATACGGGAAATTCAAGAAAATGGATTCAATAACATTAAGGGTAAGGTGTACTTTAAGGATTAGGCTATTTTGGTTAAACAACGGAAGTATCATAAAGTCAAATTATTTTATCACTCTGAAAGTAAATGGTGCGTCATGATAGTATATTTAAAAATGATCAGCGATTAGAAAAACATCAATTTAGTTATGTTTTGAAGTCAGACAAAGCGAATAATTATAAAAAAAGTCCTCTTCCACACTTAGATTTAAGTTACAATTGAATAGAATGTGAATTTCAATGAAAATAAATAGTTTAATCAACATTTACCAGTTATTTCATGAGCAAACTAAAAAGATTCAAACGCCCTATAGTAATTTTCATATATATAACAGTTAAGACATATGTAAACTGTAAATTTACAGTTTACTGAGATGAGACGACGAAGTAAAATGCAATAAAACTTTACATTTACCAAAAGGTCGCTTAATATTTATTTCCCATGAACTCTCGCTTTAAATTAATATAATTAAATACAACATTTAACTAAGTGAACTTGTTCAGTAAAGAAGTAAGCATTTAAATATTATTTTTATTTGTTAATAATCATATCAGGCCAGTCTTTATCCATGATGCGAGCGGCCCACCCAGGCGCCGCGCGTTGGCTGACGCCGCACCGATGATCATCAGTAAATTCCATCAGGGGGCAGAGCGCTGCTTACCAAATTGGTGAAATAAAAATAAAAGCCTTACATATATACTACTTAAATTATGCGCCTCGGTATATTTCGTGTTTACGAATTTAACCGATCAAGAAACCAATGTGTGATCGTCCTTTTAGCCGCCAAAACTTGTCTTCTTCTTCTTCTTTTTTAATTAATGGCTTATCTGCGCATTTCGCACAATCCTGCCAATGTCAAGTAAATAAATTAATTTTTACATGAAAAATGAAAATGAAATGAATAAAAGATGGCGATGATCGCCAAAACTTGTCAGTACCTCGACTGTGATGGTAGTGACAGCACGCAATATTTCAGTATTAAGAATTGTATAGATCTGTAATACGTCAAATTACCTTATTTGAATATAGGTACTTAATATATTCCTACATAATTTTCAAGGTATTGTGGAATGGATACCAATTTAAAAAAGGAAAAGCGATAAGCGGTCAGTTCCGTGAAATAATATACAACGTGTACCTGTACTTTTTACATAAGCTAATGTTTTTAAAAAGTCTGAAAATGGATATTTTAATAAAGTTCAAGACCGCGTGGTCAAAGCCACTGGCATATCCAGACGATTTCTGCAAAATTTAATAAGGGACAAAGAAAATAATGGTAGGTCTGCATTTAACACACCTAAGAAAGGAAGGTCAAAGAAGAATTTCAAACTGACAGTTTTGATTACAGTGTAATTACACTATGGTAATGACTTTCATTTAAGATTTTGTAAAAAGTAATGATTCATTTAAGATTTAAGGAAGTTACTACTGTAAAGTCTTTAAAAATTAAACTAATGGACGCTATTGGTTCCCAAGGATGTGCAAATACATTAAGAAAAATGCTTAAAGATATGGGATTTAGATTTATTAAGACAGAAAATAACAGAAGTCTCCTTGCAGAAAAATCTGCTGTACGCCTAAAATGAATTGAATATTTTAAGAAAATACAGGCTTTAAGAGCTGCCGGAATAAATATTGTATTCATGGATGAATCATATGTTCATACTTCTCACACAAAAGGCAAGTTTTGGCTTGATAAAAATAAAAAAGGTGAACGCATTATTATCATGGTGCTATTAGGTAAATGTTTGGATTCTGATGGAGATTATCATCAAGCAATAAACGCAGATACATATCAAACTTAGCTCCGCTATCAACTGATTCCCAATTTACTTCCAAACGGTGTGCTACTAATCGACAATGCACCATACCATAACCAGTTATTGGTTAAGTCGGTTAATTTTGGTTGGTTGGAGCGGAACCATATTCTTTTTGACCCTACATTAACAAAGCCTGAGTTATATAAAATTATATTGACTCATAAAGAAAGTTTGGCTGTATTTACCATTGACAAAATTTTACAAGAGCATGGACATTCAGTTTTACGATTACCGCCATATCATCCTGATTTTAAGCCCATCGAGAATATTTGGTCCCAAATAAAGGGGCACGTAGCGAAAAGAAAAGTTGCCATGAATGTGACCTCGGTAAAAGAACTTATATTAGAAAAAGGTAACATGATAGGATCCGACGAATGGAAGAAAGTATGTGATCATGCTTTCAAGTGTGAGGATGAGTACCGGAAATTTGAGTCTGTTTTTGAAAACCATTCGGATAGATTCATTTTAAACATTGGTTCCAGCAGCGACAGTAATGATTCTGAGTCTGAAATGTCGGGTATAGAAGTCATATCAAATGTGATTAATTAATAAATTTATATTAATTGATGACTTTTGTTTTATTAAAAAAAACTGTTCGATTTACTGGTGTCAGAAACTTATTTAGTTAGTACAACCGATTAATCTTAATTTGATTTTCTTTAATCTGGGGTTTTCATTTTGGTATCAGCTGATGGCAAAAAACGCAGTTTACTTTTTTTTTAATTGGCTGACCTAATTTAAATTTAAGCGAAATGATCAATTATGTAATAACAGCTCTATATATATAACTTTAAAATACATTAGGATTGCCGAAGCTTGAAAAATATAGCCGAAGCGCATAATTTAAATAGTATATATGTACGTGACTTTATTTTAAAGCAGTAATGATCGATAAAATATATTTAACCCTTTTTTGAATCAGACGTATATTCCTTATTTTATATTTTTGTACAAAAAATGGAATCAAAAGAAGTTTACACTAATATAACTTTAAAATTTTAAATATCAAGCTTATACTAATACTAACATCACCACAATAATCAATAGCAAGCAGCTTAGCATCGCCACAACCACAGAACACAGAAAGACGTTAGAAAGGCCTTGTGGGCGTGGCAGTGTAGCCACGATCCTGGACAAACGTACAGGATCGTGACTTCACCACGCGAACGCGATGTTCACGAACGCGCGCACTGTAAGTACTGTGAAACACACTGTAATGCCGATTTGCGCAGTTATTAATTGCAAAACAAGAAGCCCATCCTCAAGTAGGTCCAAAAGAAGGATTTATTTCCATTAGTAATTAGAACACTTCTCAAATTTAGTATTTTTAGTCGAAATTCGTGAAATGTTATCAAAAGTGTGAATCACAAAAAATATTTCCAAGAAAATATACATTGCCGGAGAAGTGCGCATATTTATTACATTGCGTCGTACTAAGCACGCAATGTAAAGAACATTGCGAAATCACCGTTTTAAATAGCAACATAATAGATTACGGTAGATGGGTAGTGAAGTGCCTGGAAACATTTAATCAATTCTTGGTGTGTTAGTTACATAGACATAAAAGAAGAGGACCGGCCATACCTACGAAAAAAGCGTATATGCCTGAACTTGAAATGCAAATTCTTCGATGGCGGACTGTCATAGGGCGCGACCCATGATATCGATATTTGTATCGACATTGAAGTCATATTAAATAAAAGTTAGTATTTCGTGAAACTGCTACAAAACAACTACTTATTAAATAAAGTAATATAATTTCCATTGTTAGGGGCATAGCTAAACTATTACCTATTATACTTTTATTCGTTTCACACTTACGTACCAATCCTATTTATGATTATTATTAATTAAATAGATAAATTCACGCCAGTTTTAAGAAAATAATATTTTGTTAAAAGTGGCGTGAATTTATCAATTATTTATAAATCTTTAAGCAATCTTTTGCTCGTGTTTTATTGGACATCTAAAAGTCTCATTGTTCTTGCGACTACGTTGCGTCAGTATAGTAATTATAACCTATGTTACCAGCGTATGACGGCGTTTCCCACCGGTAAAAGATTATTCGTATTCCAAATTTCATCAAAATCCGTTCAGTAGTTTTTGCATGAGAGTAACCAACATCCGTCCTCACAAACTTTCACATTTATACTATATAAATATTATTTTATAATATGATTGTACCTCGATAAATATGTTTCTTTTTCCTCTAATATAGACAATTTTAC